ATCTTTATTATTTATTATTTTCATTATTTATTATTTTTATTATTTATTATTTTCATTTTTTTTTTTACGTATATTTTCGCACTTTGCAATTATTGGGGGATAAGTATATAGGAATGTAATGCGACATTAGTAAGTGATGTGCTACGGAAATGATTTCTGCTGATAAAAAAGTCAGAGGTGCTGGCCATAACCACAGGTTGTTAGAAGTAGTTTTTTTTCTCATTCATGTTCCATTCCATGTTCATAAACCATCACAATTTAAAAATCAGTGTTCAGTACAATAAAATTATTCAAGTGGTTCATTGGTCAACTTTACATTTCATATCATTTGGCTCCTTTTTAGGTTTTTTCTCTGTCGCTCACACTGACTTGTTGATAATTGATAATAATTGATTATTGTTTCCTTAATTCTTAATTCGATTATTATTATTTGCTGAAATTTTTTTTCGTATAAGCTATAATTCGTACTATTGAAAACGAATCATTTATGCGATGTTTTACAATATTTTGGTAGTTTTTTATGGCGTATTTATAATATTTAATCATTAAAATTCAAAGAAAGAAAGAAAGATAAAAATTTTCTATTTATCTTTAACGCTATTCAAATTCCTAAATGTTCATTGATTGATCAAAACCATAACTATAACCGTTTAATTTTACACATTTGATTTTTTGGCCTATAACCGTAAATAAATAATTAGTATTCACCAATTGATTCGGCTAGTAGCTCAGGAGGACGGCACATAGGACAACGTGCACTATGCAGTTATTGGGGGATAAATGGAAAATTGGTACCACTCGGGTTTTTAATAAAAGTTTGCCTTTGCTGGGCGCAGGAGCGGACTTCGAATGATAATCAATGCTCGTCTTCTCATGCGACCTCCAACTGTACAGGCCGTACAGTTTTCAAATTCCAGTGCCTTTTCATTATCGCGAACCGACTCAGATTCATTAGCGAATATTTAACATTTTCTATCGATTTCAATTTTTTTCTTATTTATCAAATTTTTGCTCGATCTATTCTTGAAAAGTTGGAATATATTAAAGAATTATTAGATCGAGTGAAGATTTGACAAATAAGCAAACTACTGAAATCATCTCAATTTTAAAATTACTAAAATTACTATGCGTAAAATTAAACTAAACTTCTTTATTCTTACTGTTAATTACTGGAGTAAATTACAGAACGATATAGCTTATGCGTCATCCTTAGCTATCTTTAAAAAAGATTAAATAATATCATTTGTGATATATTTATAAGGTTCAAATCATACATGAAGTTTGAAATCTCGATTTTTACCATCCGATTATATATTATACGGTTACTTCGAATTATACTATATTATATAATTCTGTAATTTCCTTTTTATTTCACCATTAAATTGTTAATTTTTGTCATATTTTCTTTTTCTTTTTATCATTAATTATTATTATTTGTTATTTTACCTATTGTTATGAATACGAGCACATGGCGTTTCTCGCCTGCTTGGCTGGTTTTTTCAATAAATAAATGAATAAATTTTATAAGATCCATATGTGTTGATCACTGTATTATTTTATTATTGTCATGCGCGTCCACATGATATTTTGTTGAGAAATTTTCGTCGAAAGTGATCATTTTAGTAATCGTCGTCATAATACAGTTGCATTCTACGTCAGGCAGGATTCTCTTTCATTACGTTTCGACAATAATTTATGCAACTTACGCAGGTTTTATTAACATTATTTGTTTCTCATATTACTGCATCATATTTCTAAAGAATTCACATTTTAGCAAAATAAATGTTTGAACCAGCAATTATTGCACCCATAAAGCTTAAATACAAGTGGCGATCGACTACTTCATTCTCCGAGAATCCTTAACAAAAATTTTTAATAAAATTAACAACCAAAGGTAGTCTAATCAGAAATGGTGGATGCTAGTCATTTACTGTTCTTATTCATTTTATCATTATCTTTATCATTAGCTTCTCATTAGTTAAAAAATTTTAGAAACAATTTTACAAAAAATCGACGGTAAAAATTGATCAGTGGTGCAGAAATATTGATATTTATTTTAACACTGGATAGATTGATAAATCCTAGTTATTCGAAATAAGCCGAAAATATCATTCTAGAATTTGCATTAAAATCGTTAAATCTATTGTTAAAAACTATGAAATTTCAAAAAAATTGGCAGTTATACAAAATGATTTAATGAATGCGGAATTTTTCGCTTAATCTCTTTAAAGCTCGACTCGTTAATCCTACGTTGCTTGAGACCCATCTTGATATTTCTATTCGCAAGTGGCAAAATAATTCATTCTATAAGTGGAACCAGTGGAACCATTTAAAGCAAGTTGGGAGATAATCTACGTACTGTTCCTAATCGTTCCAGTATTAAATAATTAATACTGCATTTTTCGTTATTTGTTTCAATTATTGCTTCAGCAATTGATAACGATGTTTTCGATCATTATTGTTTGTTTTAAAATTTTTTTCCAAAATAAGCAATCAAATAAATAAGCAACTGTTGATCTAAATTGTTGTCATTCATTTAAAAAATTGTGATGATTTGTTTTAATATTGTTTATTATTATCGATATAAAAAAAATTCGATTTTTTTTCGAAAATTTCCAATATTATATGCGATGGATAGAAATTTTGGATTTATTTTATTTCACCAATTTATAACATTCGGTTAATAGTTTTAAAATTTTGATTGTTCTATATAAATCTGTTATTTATACATAAGAAAATAAGGCTAGGGTGGCGAGTGCTACGGGTGTGTTCCAGTTGAAGTGGCATCGTTAATTCGATTCTTGCTTCTTGATGGTAATAAACTTGTCATTAAAAGTGAAATCCGAGTGCTGCTGAGGATTGCTTATGCACTTATGCTTCTGTCCTTAAATTGTTCTCTGGTGAAAGATTTTTAACTTGAAAATCCTATCAAACTGGAAATAAGGAAAGTAGAAGAATATGGAATGTTGCATTTGCTGACAGCTATTCTGTTTTATGGTAATGATAATAATTACTTAATAATTGTTACTGACCAATTATAGGTGTTAATCGATGATTTCTCAAATGAGTAATAGTTTTCATAAATGATGTATCAAACGGTGCTAACGGCTGCAGTTGCTGCACTTTTAGTTATATCAACTATATTAATAATATGCAAGTTGGATATGCCAAACACATGCGTGCATACTATTAATGAAAGAAATCGGTCAGATTTTTCAGAAATTTTTTATCATTAAATATTTCTTTTAATTCTTTGTTATTAAATGATTTTGCGATAATAAACTGCCTTTTAACTAAATTTAATTAAATTGAGCATTGCAAATTTAGAAATCGGAAGCTAAAATGAAAATATTTGCTGTTGTGATATATGAAAATGAGGAAATAACAAAAATAACAAAATAAAAATATGCTTGATTCATTTTGGTCATTATTGAACTATTAAATACTTAATAGCACTAATAACTAACGATTATAGTCGTCAAATGAGTTTTCAGAATACTTTGACACGGAAACTTTTTCTAATAGCTCTCACCATTACTGGTTAGGCTGGGTCCGCTGGCTACAAGGGTAGGGTTTTCTAAGCTGTTCGACGTCATTCCTTTTTTCCTTTTTCCATTGTCCATATATCGCTGGTACACTTAAACCTTCTTAGTCTCCTGACTATATCAGTCTAGGTCCTCCTCGCTTTTAATAGAATAGCAAGTAGCGAAATATGTGTCAAAAATACGCTTCTATAATGGGCACGAAGAATGTGCCCTAATTAACAAAGGTGACAATGTATAATAGCACTTCTAATACAAGTGATATTTGAGCGAAGGTGGATGCAATTATGATTTTGCGGCGATTTTATCTGCTCGGCAGACCCCCAAAATATATCTGATATCAGTGGTCAAAGGAAGAGATATCTTCTTAACAACCTCCACTCTCATTAGCCATATTTCGCAACTATATTGCAAGATCGAGTGAAATGAAGCTATATGGGCGCGGATTTCCATGTTTATGGTGATTTCGCGACGGCTCCATAAAAGTTTCGTCAACCAAAAGACGTTTCTAGCTGCCATTATTATCTGGGTTATAATTTCGTCTTTCTATTGACTATTTGGGATTAGAGTGGATCCAAATATTTAAAGTCGAGCAATGAATTGATAAAAATAGGTATTTTATCATCTTCATATATATGAGACGAAAAAGTTTTCGTTTTATTTATTCATTTTATTGATCCTGAATCCGATTCTTGCTGCACTTTCTGACACGTTATTTAGTATTATTTGCATTTCGTTATAACTATCAGCAGAAAGGAGTACATCATCAACGTATTCAAGATCGGTGATACGATGCTCTGGACTAATTCGGACACCTCTTGAGTGCCGACAAGCAATGTCCATTATCCGGTCTATCGCATAGTTGAATATTGGAGGGGAAAGGATGCACGTCTGATGGACACCAGTTTTTATTTCGAAGGAGTCTATTAGTTCCTCATATACACAGACCTGTGCCGATGTGCGCTGATAAAATGACTTTATGAGTCGAATGATTTTCTTTGGAACATCATTGTTCCATCATCTTCAAAGTGCCAATTGAATCGAAAGCATCTGTCGATGAAACACATGACGGTGAGTTGTAGATATCTGAAGTGATGTTCCAACATTCTTCTTTACGTGAATATCTGGTCAGCACAAGTGCGTCCTGGTTTGAATTCAGCTTAATTACGAATATCCTGCTGTCTCACACTGCCAAGTTTATTCAGCAGGAGAGAAGCAAAAATTATACCGGATATAACTAGTAGGATGATTCCTTGATAATTATCACAGTAGGTCCTGTCATCTTTCTAAGAATTAGAAGTAGAATTGCTTTGCTTTGCTTTTTCATCGGGTATTATTTCTTTTTTCCATAGAAACTTGGCTTATGGAAACTTCTTCACAGTCCTATATGGCCTTATGACGTTAGTGATAAAATGGAGAAAAGATTAAATTAGGAATGAGGTTACTTGATGGAAAAAAATGTTCCTTATTTATTTTTCATTTAGATTCCTTAAATATAAAAATTATTGTGTTTTACCATATGTTAAGAGGAGTTCTATGGAAAATAGTTTGGAAATACTTGATCGAATCACCTTAATTATACATATAAGTGAAAATTATCTGGATCACAGGCTCATTGAACAGGTTAGTTTTATCTCTTTCTACCTTATTTCCAGCTTTTGAATGTTTTGATCAATATTATAGAATTTATTATTCAAATTACCTGCTGCTATCTCATTATTTATTATTTATTTATTTATTTATTATTATTTATTTATTATTTATTTTTTCATTATTTATTTACTTATTAGCAAACTATTAGAAAAATTGAAGAATTAAATTAAATATAATAATACATAATGCTTAATGGTGAAATAATGGATCAAACCAGAGGCTGTGCTTATCGGTGGTATGTTGCTTCTAATGAGATCCATTTATAATGAGTTCATTTCTTCTCTGAGAGATTAAATCTAAAAGGGGAATCCAGATTATGATCCCTTGCCATTATTATTTTATATTCGCTTTATGAATTTATTGCATCACAGGTGGAAGCATGGGATGGTCCAGTTACACTTGCCATAATTATACCTTCTTTCAATATTTTCGATAAAATTCGAAATGTTCAAATAAAAGTTAGTTTTTGAATTGGTAGAAAAAAGGCAAAGATTCATTTAAATAATTTTTTCATCATTAAAAGTATTTACAAGTTTTATGCTTCTAAACTTCTAAACTATTGATTACTATATGATTACTATATGATTCTAAACTATATGATTTGAAATGAATTGTTCCAACAATCGGAAATATTTCTGATTTTCACAATATTTGCTTATAATTTACAATTTTTTGTTTATTTTGCTCGTTCTATTCAGGTTTTCATTTTAGTTGCTGCATCTTCCTGTAAATGTTCTGGAAAAACTTAGCGCGCATATAATATTTGAATCAAATATTTCATGCACGACGAATTCCGTGAAGTCACTTAATGATTTCACAACGATAAGCAAATATCCAATAAATATTGCCCGAAACATCGCAAGAATGGTAAAGTTGTATCGAAAACGAGAGCGAGAGCGAGAATTTGTGGAAATCCTTTGCACTTCTTTGAATTAGGCCTTATCCTTTTTCTTTAACATAGTAATACTTGACGAAGCTAACAAATCCAGTCCAGGCCTACAAACTCTTGTACATTGGAATAGATGGAAGAGAATATAATTTGAAAATTTTGTTTATATTTGATAACATCACAGGCGCTGCTCTATATTTTGACCTAAGTTCATAATTCAGTGAGAAATTAATGAAATTATGTGTAAATTATTTCTCGTTTCTCGGCTCTTTTGAGTTTTGATGGGCTTCAGTGTAAAAACTTAGTTTGGGTGATTAGTGATTAGTAACACAAATCTTAATCACAGTAATTAAGTAGTGATTACGATTGTTCAAAAATCTCAAGGCTTAAAAGCGAAGATCTCTTATAAGCGGCGGAATATTCTCTGGTTCATATTATCTTATGGAATATCCTATTATTTTGCAAGGTGCGTGGAAAAATTCACTGTATCTTTTTAATATATCGTCAGTTTCAGTTTATTCCTTCCAAATATGTTATCATTGGTGATTACGAATTTATATTTTCACAAAATTTCGAACAAAAAATGAGGCCATTAGCTAAACAAGAATTCACCAAAAATCCAAAAAGTGTTCTCGTATTTCGAACTTTTGAAATAAATGAAAGTGTTGTTAGGTTCGTTCATAAGTTTTAATAATGTTTTATTGAAATCAGTATTATTATGTGTGCTTTAACCATAACTTATTTTAAAAAAATTGCACCGTGGACAAATGGTGTCAAATCCAAGCATCCATGATTCGGTCGCTACAACAAATCTCTGTCATGAAAGCCAGTTTTAGTCAGTACCAAGACCTATTTGCACATTAGTGGCTCTTTGGCGATGGTATTTCGCCTTGGTAGTTAGTGGGGTAACCAAACCGAAAATGGGGAGTACCTTAGAAAGAAAATGATTTGGATGTTACAATGGATTTGTTTTCTATTTTTTTTGATTCATGGTGATCGATTCATGTCTGTCTAATTTATTATATTTCAAATGGAAAATAAAATACCCCAAAAAAGGGATAGAATAAATTCATTGAATAAATAAAGAATGAAAGCGAATAAAAACCACTTTTCGAAGTACATGAAACTTGTTAAAGTAACCAGAATTTTAGATTACCACGTGATAAATCAGAATTGAAAAAATTGTATTCTCAAGGGCTCGCAGTTCAGTTTCATGCTAAATTTAATCAAGGCGGCCATGCAATACCCGATTTGCCCAAATGGTTCAATTATCCAGAAAATAATCACACTATTATTATCGATAAAATTTTGAAGTACGTGTATTTCTTTATATTTCGTGCTAAATTTCGCATCCTTATTCTTTTATTTTAAATTTATGGTAATATAACAATTTATAATCAAATTAAGGTTTGATCGACACGGGTGGGAACCACAATTTATTTCGCTGAATACGATCCCATTTCACGATGAAAATTTTCCTTATTCAATTCGCGACAATACTGTCTTGGTTTGTGCCTTAATGTTTATATTTGACCTGAACTGTTTTCGAAAGTGCAAGCACATTTCTATTATTCGCCTCGAAAACATACATATTTACGAACCAATCATCCATATAAACAAAAATATTCACAGTTAAATACCATCTAAAATATTTATCGAAAATGGTTTGGAAGAGACTTGGATAACAATTAGGAATTTTTAGGACGAGAAACATTTTCAAACCTTTTTTTGGAAAAAATTGAATAAACATTCTTGCATTCAGATTAATCTTTACAAATACCGGATGAAATGAAACAACTATTTACAATAAAAAACTTTACCGTAAAAGTGATTAATTTTTATTGCATTCACACCTTTGGCACACCTTTTACATATTCGATAGATTTTAATATCCATTTTGCATAAGATATATATATATATATATAAGATTAATGGCGATTAGTGATTTGTTAAGTTATATTTATTAAATTACCACTTAATTCTGATAAAATTTTTCCCATGAAAAATTTGGCCTCTTTAAAGGATTTTATATTTAGTCAAATACAATGATTTCAAAAAACACCAAAGTCCTATTATATTAAAACATTTTCATTGCTTTTTTTTCATACAATTTCATTATAGCGCTGGGAAATGTGTCGACAAAACTACACTTTTATGCTATTAAACAATGTTTTTATGATGCATAAAGGAATCAAAACAGTTGATGACATACCAAAGGTGAAAGAAATGCAATCAAAGGTGAAATCACAATTCATTACTGCTTTGGCCTTATTCAATAAACGCATGGATGATGAATATCCTGAGACAAAACGAAACTGCCCAACTTTTAGAGCATAATCTCACTATTTCACTGGGCGCAATATTTTATTAAAAGCATTTAATCAAATTAAGCGGATATAACAGATCCAAACAGGCTGCGCTGCCACTTATATCCATGATTTCATTTTTATATGGACGAAACAAACCTTGCGGGCAATTCTACATTCTCCAATATTTAATGAGGACTGTTCATCGCAAAAATTGCTTATTGAATGTTACACGGGTTTTTTTGATTAAATACATTAAATGTTTGGCGATTTTCCGCAAAGAATAAAGAATATCAAAAAAGAACGAAGAATTGCAAAAAAAAGCAAAAATTTATTTCACCAAATTAAATTCAAATATTATAAAAATTTGTATCTGTAAAATTTATATTTGTGCTTGTAAAATTGATTCAATCTGCAGTTTCAACAAAATTTTGCAGTATATAGAATATAGAATAGAATATTTGAGAAAATAGACCAAACTACGTTATATACTATAAACTACGTAATGTATATTGTTTCACGACAGTTTATGTTGAGTTATAAGTTCCTATTGAATTTATGGTCTTATATAAAAAATTTAACAACTCAGCAATAATAAGAAATAAAGCGCATATAATCACAAAATGAGCAAATTTCCCATATAAAATATATAGAAATATAGAAACTGTTCTAATCATTCAACAGTGAAATTTTATAAGTTTTATAAAATTAAAATTTATGTTAACAAATTTATTTTATATTAACAAATCTGGTTCGCTTTTTGGTATAAACAACCGGTTCCTCAGCCACTCTGCAATTATTCTAAATATAACATTTTTCCCAAATAACGTTGTTTTCTATAAAATTTCAGTTTTTAGCTCTTCTATAACCATCAATATTTTACACCTATAGATTTTACAATTTTTTTCAATTAATATGAAAATGACCTTTTAAATGTTTTTTGCACTGTAAAATCTGATTTGTTTTTGATTGTTGACAAATAGTGATGAATTTCTTCCCAACGTCTATTCCAATAACGCTTTTCTTCTATCAAAACTCGCAAATCTTCCTTGCTGAAATTTAATATATATATATATATATATAAAAGAATCTTTGAAAGAACATAAGAGCAATACGGGTACATAAGGAAATAAAAAAAGTAATATTTAATAATAAAAAATAATAAGGAGTACAAAATAATAGTTTCTGAAAATAGAAAGATAATCAACTGCTGAAAAAGAAACTAAAAAAGAAATCGAAAGGATTACGTTTTACCAAATGTTTCATCACCATCTATCCTTAGTCTCCAAGTTCGTTCACCGGATGTGATATGTTCACCGAATGTCGTTAAAGAAAAATCGAAATCTTCCACGGTCAGCCCGAACGCCAACTGCATATCCGATCTATAATTCAAAATATAATTCACTTTGCAAACTAAAATATGATACAAATATGAACATAAAACCAGTTCTATAGGAATTTTTAACGGAAATTACCTTCTTACAGGTAGATTTGCATTTAAAAGGCATAAAGCAAAATCTCTAACAATCCGCTGTAATGAATATTCATCCTCCGGAAAAGCCAATTCACTCTTGATGACCCAAACACCACGAACTAAATGCGCATATTCACGTATGCGAGAAATTAATAGATTATGTTCGATCTTGAATGAAATTAATTCTTCAATATGTTGCATTGAAATAACACCTACTAAAAACAATTATTATGCGTACAAATATTTCTAAATAAGAATAAAAAAAATATTTCGAAATATTTATAAACTCCAAATATAGCAACTTAAAGATTATTAAAATGAAAAATTAAAATAAAACAATCTACTGCTTAAATCTAAAAATTTAATATTAATCACGTTATTCATAAAAATGAAATGGAAATAAAAATAAACTTCATAGAATAATTTGTATTTATATATATTATTATAATTTGTATTTGTACTTCAATTCATATATAAAGGCTGAATATATATATTTATTTATTTAATATATTTAAAGACTGAAATTAAATTAATATAATTTTTAAATATATCTACTTTAAGTACTTTAAACAATTTTTATCATTAAAAACAAGATATAAATGAAAATTGACATCACTTTTCTACTATTTGGTAAAAGCAAATCAAAAAAATAAAAAACTTAACCTTTGATGAACAAAGCTTTGAGCTGAAGCGCATCAGGTAAACGTCTCACTTCTTTAAATGATATTAACGAATGACGATCCTCCAAATTTCTAAAAAATAATTTGCAAATTTAGCTTTATATCAAATTTACCAAAAAACTGGAAATTTTTTGAAATTTATTTTTAAAAATTGAAGAAAATTTTCAGTCTTTTTCATTCTTTCCTTTTACATACTTTTATATATTTTATATACAGATGAGACATTATTTAAAGGGGTCAAATTGATTTCCATCGCGAAATCCTGCTATAGCCCATAATTTTAATATTTCTAAATTTTTTTCTCTCGCTGGTAATCGCTGAATTAAAGCTAAGAGTGAGGTTATTTTGAAGATAAAAGGTTAATGGAGCGAAATGCAAGATTCATTCCTATTCACTTCAAATTTATGCTTCACAACTTTTATTCTTATGCGGAATATTCGATGATTTTTTTCAATGTTCCCACTATCATCCTCCTATCATCCTCCTGACAGAAATATTTTGAAACTAACAGTTCCGCCAATTTGTTTCCAACTATAGTCTCTTCGACCAAATGTTCTGCATCGCGTAATTTCAACAAAGAATCCACGGGATTAGGTAATGAAAAAAGTGAATTAAGCTTAGCTGATGCCGACTTCTGCAACATATATTATAAATTAACATTTAAAGGTAAATGCTATGAAAAAATTTCTTTAAAATATAGATTTTAAATATAACCATCGTGCTTTTTTCTAAATCCAGTGAAATCCATGAGCTATGCTCAGCAACTTTATTTCGAAGGGTGACTGATTCCTCTCGACGTTTCTTTTGGAATTCATTTTCTGGCCGAACAAAACGCACCCTTAAAGGAGAAGGATCGTCATCAGTTTCGCTTTCTGATTCCGTAAACTCACCTATTAAATTATAGACACAATGAATATCGATTATATTTAAATATCTATATTTAAATAACATTTAGGCGCGCCAATACTTATTAGTACTTGCAATATAATAATTCTTATGTAAACTTTTTTCTTACGTTACATATTAATTTTCGAAGAGTCTCTTTATATTCTCATGTGGAATATTCGAGAAATTTTTTTCTTATAACAATTTAATCTACTTATAACAATTGGGACTAACTATCAGTATCTGCGTGAATAGCTTCATCGCACTGCAGATTTTGTAGACCAGCTTGCAAATGACGCATTTCAAACGATCCCATCATGGGACATAAATATATATTACCTAAAATTATAGATATATATTTATATATATTTATGATAAATTATATATATTTATGAATTTGATTATGGATGAAGAAAAAAAAATATCGAGCAAAAAAAATAGAAATGAAACAAAACAAATGCTTAACTTTGTATTTGAAACTAATGGCATATTCAAATGCAGCATCAAACGAATGGCTTTGGCCAATGAAAATGTCCTCATATGCCAATAATCTGCAAAAAAAGATTAAGAAAACAACACTTTTATTTATTTCTTTTATTTTCTAAATTAATATCAATAAAAAAACAGAGCAAGAGGTAATAAAAATGGGAAAATGAAAAAAAGAGAAGAAGAAGAAGAGAAAGAACGATAAAAAGAATGAAATAGGATGAATATTACAAATAAGCCAATTTGAAAAATCAGACTTTGAAATGATATTCAAAATTTTATGGCAATAATTGCAGTAATTTGAAAAAAGTTGATAAAAAACGCCCAAAAAAATCTACAACGGGAAAATAGAAATATATTTCAAATAAATTACCGATCCATAACAAATGACGTCTTGGAAGTTGACTGTTGTTGGCTGGCAATATATTTTGCTTTTTTAGCATCAAATGAAGCTGAATCAGCATCCTGAGGCAGTCTCATTTCAAGCTAAAGAAATTTTTTGTAAGAACAAATGAAAAAAGGAACTACGGAAAGACAAAATATAAATCTCACCATTCTAACAGCTTTTTTGAAACGAGCTTTCAACCATTTATTCGTATAAGGATTGATTTTACTGGTTGGAAAAATAACTCGATAAAAAGCGCTGTTCACTGGTACGTGACAAACATATATATTATGCTGAAAAATATAATACGTAATTAACTACTACCTGAAAAAATGAGAAAAATTTTAAAAGTTTTCATACGGCTATTTTGCAATTTAATTTGAAAAAAATTAGATAATGAGGTACGTCTGCGCAATTATATTTCTAACTAATTCATGAATTTCATAAAGATTATAAAAGAAAAAGGAAACGATAATGAGCTAAAACATTTCCGAAAAATTTAAAGAGAACTTCGGATATAACTGGGTCATTAAAATCCGACTGTTGAGCCATATTTAACTTCCGCTCGATTCCATCCTTAGAATCAATCTCCATTAAATTATTCTAAAAATCGTTAATTAAAATTTACAGAACTAATAAAAGCAACTATGGTGCGAAACTAAATCAACGAGCACTAATTATTATTCGCCATCTCGCAAACTCCTCCGATTAATGAAATTTACAGGCGCATTCAACTCGAATAAAGTTAATATTAAAAATGCTATCAAGAATTTAAACAAAATAATTCTAAACATTTCGTTAAAATTTAGTTTATTTCGAATTTAATAAAGAAATTCAAATATGATAATAAATTTATTATTGAGTCAATCAATACCAACAAAAGTTTTAAAAATTAGATTTCGGAATATGGACGAATAAATTTAGAATAATAAATTCTATACCACATGAATATTATTTTTAGGAAATAACTAACATCTCATCAGACAATTACTTCGATTGCGATCGTTGTCGTAGTGGTATTTTATAAAGGCCTAAAATATCTGATGACTTATTCATTAGCTAGGATTAAAGGATAGGATAGCAGCGTATTCAACAGTATTTATCAATCAATCCGTTCAGAAGAAACATCAAATAAATCAATAATGGTTAAAATAAATGAACAATTGACCCATGTCGAAACGACATTTCTCAATATATGTTATCCGATAAAAATTTAAAGTTATCATAAATCGATTTCCATTCATCCCTTTCATTTTTCTGATTTCTTCTCCTCCTTCTCGTTCTAAAATCATTTTTCCTCACATATAATTTAATGGATCTGTCTAGAATTCATTAGCCTAAACACTGGGTGAGGGTTAATGAAAAATGGAAATGCCTATCATATATTATGTAAATTTTAACTTATATATAATTTTTGAATATTATTTATTTTCTTTCGTCCAACTTACCTTATATTCATGAAGGAACCATTAACAACTTGATAACAAATCCGGCCGATTATTATCACTATTTATTTATTATTTTTTATCAACACTGTAATAACATTATTTCTGTTGGAAACAACCGAAGGGAAAAAATAAAATAATAATAAGGTAAGAATTCATAAAACTTTTTTAAAATTTAAAAAAGGAAAAACAACAAAATTTTAACAAAACTTTCCACATCATGAATAGTCAACAATATGCAAATCGCACAAAATTGTTTTTCTTCTTTCTTTGTTCACGCATTTGTCTTTACTTTGTAAGGCCATCTTATTAACAGAAAACAACCATGAGAAAATTTTCTTTTGAATAAAATTATAAATTTTTACGTAATTTTTGATCTACTAGTGTTTTGGAAGAACCACCCAGCAGATTGGCAAAGGAGAACCAGCTCAGTGTTGGATTAATAATACATTAATTGCCTTCGCCTTGCTTCACCACCTTTTTTTTATTGATCCTTCACCTTGAATATATTCGATTTTACTTCGAACCTATAAAATAGCTATTTTTCATTTATTATAGCAAACCGTATTTTTTTTTAATAAATATTTTAATTCACGGTCGCAAGAGTACATTCTTTTTCTGACAATTTCAATATTATAATTTATTTTATTATCATTATTATTATCACATTATTTTACCATTATTACTATCACTACTATTACTATTGTTATTTCATTATTATTACTATTGTTATTATCATTACTATTATCATTATTATTATTATCATTATTTTATTATTATTATTATGAATAAATGAACTCAACTCAATATTTTTAAATATTTGAATGAAAAAAAATTTTCCACTTTCAATTGAAAAAAAACTTTATCATTAAATAAATTAAATCAAAAAAGAATTAAATCAAAAAAAATTTAAGAAAAATCTGGAGAAGCTCTAAGAAAAAGGAAGAATTCATCTGACTGATCCCAATCCCCCCGAATTAAACCGCAAGATTTAAAAAAAAATTGACCAAATGAAAACGATCCGCCGACTTTTAGCGATTTCGAAAAATGTGTATTTGTAACCGAATTCAGCCAATCGTGAACGAGTAGTTCGCTCGCAAGCAAATTTCGTTCCATTCAATCCCACCAAAACGCGTAAAAGTTTCCATCCTTATCGAATCAATAAGCTTTCGCAGAATAATTGCTCAGCAGAGTTTCCTTTTATTCTAAGAAAATGTATATTGCTGGCAATAAATTTAAGTATAAATTTATTTAACGATTTATAAAGCGGTCGTTTTTCTTGCGAAAATTTCCGAGCAGTTATTTTTGGCACCAAGAAAGGCGAGAAGATGTCGGACAATCAAGACCTCTTGCCCAGCGCTAACAACTGGATAAAGTCAAATCGAGGAACATATCGCTTGGACAGCGTTATTGGCAAAGGCGGCTACGGAATTATTTTTCGAGGCTCCAGCGAAAATGCGTAGGTTTGTTTGAGGAAATTCTATAGATTTGCAGACTTCCTTGTCGCATCTCGGAGTTTTTCAGATCTGTGGCGATCAAAGTTGAAAAATATAGTAAATCGATGCTTCACATTGAGGCAGATGTCATGAGAACGGCAGCGAGAAAACGCTGCAAGCATATTTGCCAGTTACTTGACTGGGTTAGTTTAAAAAATTGCAGTTTTGCATGAAATCTAACGCGGCGAGGAATTGCGATCTTTTTTTAGTTGGAAACTGAAGTGAAATTTTATAAAATGAATTTCTCATTCATTCTCGCAAAGAGCGACCTTTTAAAGTTCGAATAGAATGGCTTCTCCGATTCGCGCCGAGTATCATTGGTTCTTCCCCTTGGCCTTGGCTGGAGAAGATGAGCTGTAAAAAGCCAAGTGTGCTAGGTGTGCTAGGAACACCGTCTATAACCACTTTCCGTGAGATTTTCTAATGACTAATGACTACTGCTTGAGCGAGTGATTGCTGAGCAACTGCAAAGAAATCTTATTTTTTATAAAAAGTTTGAAGTTTATTTTTTCTGAGGAAGTCATTAATCTAGCACTAAACTTGTTCGCTCCTCAAATGAAATTTAATTTGAGGGCGCGGAAAAACCCAATTATATGTTTATTGTGATGTCTCTTCTTGGAAAGGATCTTCAAAAGCTTCGAAACGAGCAAGCAAATCGTAAATTCTCTCTGAGCACCGCCATTCATGTTGGATTGCAAACACTAGAAGCTATCGAAGAATTACACCAGTAAGACAGTGAATAAAATCAATAGAAACCAGTAAAACTAATTTGAAAAGAGAACTTTTAATATCTTTAAAAAACTTTCTATAAATCATCAAAAACTTGATTTTTTAAGAGAAAAAATTAAATGAGCAATTTTAATAAGCAAAATATATGAGAATTTTTTAAGAAAACATTTAAAATTTATTAAGAAAACAAAAAATGTTGGTGCAAACAAAAAAGAAGGAAATCTCATCTAACAAATTCACTTATTATGTGAGACGAAGAGAGTTTTTTTAAATAACTTCTTCATATCAGTATAGCTCCAAACGATTCGCTTGCGAATCAGTTGTTTCAGCCTGATAGGCATTAAATATGCAGAAAAACAGCGAGTGCTGATAGAGGAAGATCCAATGCATTTTATTTCTACACGGTTTCGAATCCAAAATTAAAACACGCTTAGGTGTCGCTTTATATCGCGAGACATTAAACCTGGGAATTTTGCTGTTGGTCTTCGAGAAAAGAAAAAAACGTTGTTTTTAGTCGATTTTGGCTTATCAAAAAAGTATATTGATAAGGTACCGTAATATTCTTGTTTGTGGAAGACCTTTAAAAACAATTTTTTCAATTTCAATTTCAGTTTTTCAATTAAAAAGAAAAATGGAATGGAGTTAAAAAATATAATTCAGAACGGGAATCACCATTCTTCGCGTGGAGAAGTAGGCTGGCGTGGCACAATCCGGTATGGATCGCTTCATGCTCATTTGGGAGTGGATCTTAGTCGAAGAGATGATGTGGAATCATGGCTTTATCTTCTCGTGGAAATCACCAAAGGGTCACTTCCATGGCGCAATTTGACTGGTGGATTATAAAAGCCATAGAATGATTTTCTCAATAAGTTTACGTCAAATATCCGATTAAATATCCGAATCAGATTAAAAAAATCATATCAAAATTTTAACGGGCAACCAATGCTAAATTAAACCTTCTTGACCAAATTTTCAGTTTAACCCATTTCAAAAATCATTGTTTAAAATATCTTCTTTCAGATCGAAAAGCTGTTCAAACCGCAAAAATATCAGCAAGAAACGAAGGCCGAGAAAAATTTCTTGAAAATTGTCCAAAACAGTATGATAACATTCTGAATATAGTGGATGAGCTGAATTTCAAAGATGAACCAAATTACGACGAAATGAAGCAAATTCTGCTAGAAGTACGAAATGTCACAATAAGCTAGCAGACATAATCAAAGATTTTGCATTAATTGATCAATCGCAAACCAGTGTGGTAGTATAGGCGAGTGGCCATTACTTAGATCACCATTTGAGGTCCGGTCCTTTCCCTGGCAGGAGTAAACAAGTCATTAAAAAATACGAAAATTGTTAAACCTGTAGCTCCATTCTCAAGTGTTTCTGGTGAAAGTGTCTTAACTCACTAATAACCAACGGAACAAAACCTAACTGGAAACCAGTAAATGACGAGATTTTACAGATACTTAAAGCAAATAATCTGGAAATTGCAAATGACTGCTTTAGCAATCAAATATCCATTTTATCGACCCCGTCGATAACAACAAATAAAGCAAACAACGCAAAAACTGTCGAAGGTTTCCACCAAATTACTGAAGAAAAGCCTCGGATTTTCGCAAAATAATTCTTAGTCAGCGTTAGCGAAAAGAACCACTTTTTCAATTCATTAAACTTTATCCATGTATTTTGTGATTTCTTCACTAACGATCTTCACAATTTCAAATAAACTATTTCACGAATAATTAAGAAAAATTAAGATGCTTCTTTTATTAACCTTTCAACGATTAGAACTATAGCTAATTGTCATAAATAAGAATTTTTAAATGAATAAAAAGGAATATTCAAATTTTTATAAAATCCTTATATAAGAAAATGTCTCATATTTTTTTAAGGCTCACTTTGTTTTTCCTTTCTGATCAACTAGTGAATTATGAATTAAAGCAAATTTTTATTAATTTTAAGCAGAAAGTAAACATCGAATTTTCCATTTCGGATTTCAGATATTTAAAAAAATTTTTTTTTTTTGAATTTGAAATGAAAAGAGTCTTTATGAGAACGAAGATAAAATAAAAATTTTAGAAAATTACTAGAGAACAAATAAAACAAGTAAATTAAAAGTATAGGCTTGAAATAACATCCTCACACATTTAAAAAAAACTTCACAATAAGCTAGAATAAATAATCAACGATTTTTCTCAATAATTTCATTATTATTGAAAAATTATCATAAAGCATTTCAAGCATCCCATTAAAAGTGGAATCTGAAAGGCGATCCAAATATCACCAGATTTTATCCCCAAGCGATGCTCTGGCGAACCTTGATAGCCATTGGGTCCAGCCAAAACATAAAACAAATGTAGAAAACGAGTAATCTGGGAAGTAAAATCGACCAAAAAATTTAAAAATTGTGAATAAATTGAGAACATTCAAAATAACAACAAAAGTGAATGTGAGCAAAATATCTAAAATATAACCAAAAAACATAAAAGGAAATCATTTGCTCTTCAAAAAGCATTATATATTATAATACAAATACTTTTCTAGAATTTTGACCAAAAATATTTGATTATAGAACCTTTCTCAACCCACAAAGAAAAATTAGCAAACAAAAAAATATAGGCTAACAGGCAAGTAATTTATTGCTTAATTTATATAACTAATATAAATAATATCAAAAAACACCGCGACCCACTACATCTGGAAATTCATTTTTATGTTCCTTAACCATAGGTCTAGCTTCATACATAGTGATTGCAATCTAAAAATAGCATTAAGTAAAACTTCGAATGGTGAATCAAACATAGCTTTGGCAATTAATAATAAATAACAAATTAATTAATTGACAATAATTAGTTAATAGATGGTAATTAGTAAACAATAATTAATAAATGAACAATTATAATAAATTAATAATTAATAGCAAATTAAATAATCGATCAACTAATAATAAAAAATAATAAATTAATAATAACATAAACTTAATACGGTGATATTAAATTATAATATTATTAATTAATTATTGAATGATTAATTTACTTATAATAATTGATAAATAATATTAACAATTAATAAATAATAACAATTAATTAATTGATTAATAACAATAATTTAATTAATAATAATTAATAAATTATTAAATTAATCAATAGTAATAATTAATGAACAATAATGTTAATTAAAAAATATCTAAATTTAAAAATAATTTAAATAATTTAAAAAATAAGTAATGAATAATAATAACAAATAATAATAATGCAATTCTTAACAATTAAACCATCAAAACAAAACAGTTAAATAAGGACCCAATATGAAAATCAAAAAAAAATCAAAAAACTAAAAGATTTCTACAAAAAATTGTAGTTGGAAATATTGAAATTCTTGGAGATATACAGAATCCAACCTGTAATCCGCATACACATTCTCGTTGAAAAGCTATGCAAAAATAATGATAACAACTTGCCTGTTGTCGTATATTGGACAAATATTGCCCTCGTAGACCAATATAATAAATACGAGTGTTGACAGCTCCAAAATTAGTAGGGAAATAAATTGAAAGATGAGTTAGCGAAGAGAATTTGGTAGCTTTTAAAGCATAATCAATATGACCATAAGGATCTTGTTTAATCGAAAATTCTTGCTCGGCTTTGCAACTTGTGTCTTCGAACGACATCTAAATAAAATAACGAAGGTTGCAGTTCAAGTAAAAAAAGTGATAAAATATCAAAACCAACAGAAGGCCGATCCTTAAAAATTTTCATGCTCGCAGGATGAGTCGAATCTAAATCACCAGCCAGAATAACTCCTGTAATTTTTACATTGCCGCGAAATGGAATATTAAAAAGCAATTCTTCGTCGACATCACTTTCAACATAAGTGCTCCTAAACTAGATTTCATTCTGATTATTGCAATTATTGCTTAGACGTTACAATCCACAAAAAATTCGACTTCTTTTCGATTAAGTGATAATGCAAATATTTTTGCAGTATACTAATTCAAAAGACAGTGAAGAAAATATATTTTTAGAATTTGTGTCTTATAATTGTGCTTTTAAATTTGAAATCTTTCGAAAATTTTACCGATCTAGTCGATCCTCCCAATCTTTAAAAATTTTGACACCAGAACCATTAACACTTTCATTGAGAACGACTACCTGAAATGCGATTCGTCCAACGATAATAGTTGTCTCAATATGTGAAAAAAAGTAAAACACTCAATGAACTTAAAACAATCAATATCAAACGATATCAAATCCATTTCCATTAGATTTAAGCAAATGAAATTCATTTTAATCACAATATGAAAAAAAGTAAAAAGTACAATTAAAAAATTAGAGGAAATAAAAAAAAGATGCCCGAGATTTTAAAATATAATTCAAGCTTAAAGCATCAAAAGACAAATTAACCTTATCGATATCAATATGTTTGTTCATAACATACCGCATACCTTCTGGGACCTGTTCGATACTCGACACTTCACAAAAACAATTCCCTTGATGATGTGCCATCTAGAAAATTTATTGCCGAAAATTATTACAAACCACCAAGAAAATAAAATTAAATAATTAAAATAATTATCAAAATGTAGTTATAAACTTGATGAACGAAAAAATTAAACCTTTATTGTTACTTAAGCAAATGACCTCTAAAAGAAATCAAAAATTTATTTAAGTGATATTTTTTAATAAGCGGAATAAATAAAATTGACAAATAAATTGGATAAAAAAACAAGAAAAACACCAGCATTTCATATTCGCATAAAAGTAACCTAAATATAAACAAAAATATATATTTTGGTTATTTATTATTATGAAAAACAGACACTGCATTAGAAAAACCCTAACAATCCACCTTCCATAAATCCACTTTTTTTTAGTCTAACATTTAATAGGAATACCACCACAAAGATAAGAAATTTTTATAACCGAACAAGAGTAAGGATCCTGGGAAATCACCAATTTTCCTTTATTAGATACAGCAAATAATCTAGATTAATAACCACCTTAACAAAATTCGAAATCAATAAAGGAAAAGAAAAAAAAACTTATTCAACAATTAAAAAAACTGATAAGAGCTATGAGCAAATCATCCAAAATATGGAATTAGATTAGAAAAGGTGAGTGATTTACAAAAACATGAAACCGACTTCTTTTGCGAAAAGTTCCCCAGCAGAAAACTTCGATTTAAAGTGAAAAAAAATTGGATTTAAAAAAATTGAAAAGTAGATCTTTGATCTTTAGTGGAAATAGATCAGAAATGATGGTACGGTGAGCAAATTGAAAATAAACAAAGTAAACGTAAAATTTCTCTTAATTTACTGGAAATTTGCTTTGGATTTTAACACCAGCGAATTAGTCCGATTTCTTGTTCTTTAAAACAGCAAGCAAGTTAGAAGCAAATGCGTTAGCCACTACAACAAAAAATCGACCTATATAAATATTATATAAGCAAATAAAAATTAATAAATTCATGGCAAATGAAGAGAAATAAAAGATTCAGAAATGTATTTGCATATACTAGAAATAATCTTAGGCGATTCATTGTTACTAACGAATCGAATTATGAAATTTCGAATTTGTAAAAAATAAATTGCGATATACTTTTAAAAATGTTTACAGTTTCAATATCAAACATAGAAAACATGAAATTACATAGCAAAAACATTAACATTGTCATGTAACTCATTTTTTTCACCTATTATTATTTATTTTAAAATAAATGAATGACAATGAATATATAGGAAAATGCGCAAAAATAAAAAATACTAGTAAGAAGAGTTATTAGAGTGGCGAAATGAGTTAGCAGAAAATAAAACAATGCACAAACATATTTTCTTTATGTCAGCAAAAATGAAATTTGGTCACCAATATAAAATATTTTTTTTTTCCTATAAATATTTTAAAATCAGCGCACATATATCAAAAACGCTGCTTCAGATGGCAATCTTATGATATAACAACAGGAGACCGATATTCTTTTGCGAAAAGTTTCTCAGCAGAAAAACTTCTTCGATTTATAAGTCGACCATCAGGTTGCAGTTTATCTTCATACATCCGACTTAAAGCCTAAATGAATCAATTACTTATGAACAAATAACAACATTATTTATTTATTTATGAAGAGGAGCAAGAGGCATGTGGATGTCTTAGTAACAATATTTTTGATTAAACGGGATATTGCTGCTCTCATTAATAATAAAAAAAAAATCACTCAAGACCTCAAGTTTCCGTGCACGTTCTTTATAAAGCGGCTGTAAAGGTAACTGTAGATCATTCGCCATTGCTAAAGTCCTTAACTCGTAATAATATTTTGCATAAACAGAACTCGGAACATTAATATTGAATTCAAGGCACTCCAGAAACTGCCGTTCGAGTTCATTTCTGAAAATTTTTTTTATTATTTTCAATATCAATATCAAGAAAGAAGTGCTTTTAAATGAGAAAATTTGCAAAATTTAAACATACATATCATCAACACTGGTATCTCTCAAAATTTGACAGTAATCGACATTCCACACTGCCTGATCATCCCACACCTTTGAAGCCAACATTATAGCACCCAAAACAATACGACGCCAATTCGAAGGACATAAATCCATTTCAGCATAATTTAATAATCGTTCAATGTAAACCTGTGATCAAAAAAATACGGAAATAACAACCAACCAGTGAGAAAATGAAAATTTCCATAAACTGAAAATTCCAAATTATAGTCCATTCTCAAAAAAATCATACCAAGGTAATTATGGCACATTCAGCATTCAACTGTGCAGCATGAAACAATGTTCTAATAAAACGATAAATCTGACGATGATCAGGATCTCTTGTCATGAATTCAATTGGTACATGATCTCTCTACAAAAGCAATTAAAAAGATAATTTTAGAAAAATCAAATAAAAAATATTCAATAATAAGACAGGAATTTAGAATTCAAGAATTAATCATTCTTCATTTTGAAAATTACTGATGTCGATATCTTGAATACTGAAAGATTTTTCATTTATATTGATAAAGAATTAAGTTACGATGATTGGATGCAATCGTTCTTCGAAAATTTCCATTAGCCTTTCCTGCGTCCTATTTTTACGATTTGCAATATGGTAATAAATAGCTAATGATATACATTTGATTGTATTTTTCAGATTTGGTTGAGAGATAGTAGAATCATCCAGAAAAATTGTTGAACAACTATTTGATTTCTTTAATAGGAAACCCGTCAATTTGTTACAATCTAATATATAACAAGATCGACGATTCTCTTTCACTAAAATAAATGTTACTTTAAACGAAATAATCCATCATTTTTATAGATTAAATAAAAAATTGTAAAAAAGAAAATCAAACAAATATTTTGGTTACAAATTATTTGTCGTTCACTATGTGAAATTGTCTAAAAATGAAAAACCAAATGAATTATGGTTCTGACCTAATGAGACCAAAATCAATTTTTTTAATACCATTATAAGACCATTAAATAATCTCATATTTCAGAAGCCAAAAAAAATTTACATTTCATTTCACTACGGCTTCGTTCCATAAACGTAGGTCGCACCATCGGATGTGTAGAAGGATCATCACCTATCTCTAAAAAAATGATTTTAGGCTAAGGAAAAAGGTAATAACAAAAATAAAATACAAACATATTTCAAATATAAATAATATGTGCAAATATAAATATATAAATCAAAGTCAATTTAAACGATAGAAAAAAGAATGTTTCAACGAATTTCAAATATAAGTGAAAATATTCTCGACCAAATAACTGAATCAAGTCTAACTATTATATATCATTATAAAAGCAACTAAACATTTAAATAGTAATTATCTTACTCACCTTAACCTAGCAAAATGATCAATATATCTACCAGTTTTGTAAATGAAATCGCAGACAATAATGAAATTAATAAAAATGGAACAAAACAACTGTTTACCATCAGGCAGTTCTCGTTCACTAATATGCGGAAGAAAATTTGATGATGTATTTTCTCTCGGAAAAGTATGGTTTATATACTGAAATAAAACAGAAAATAGCAGAAACAAAAAAAAACAAAAGTATTTAAAAATAAAATGCAAGGAAAATTGATTTGCAAAATATAGTATGATAACAATGTAAAAAAAAGTAAATAATAAAATAATAATAATCAAATAATAAAATAGAATATAATTAATTAATAAAACAAACAAACAAAAAAAATTTTTTATAAAAGTTTATAAAGTTTTATAAAATTTCGATAAAATAGAAAATGGAAAAATTACGAAACCACGGAAAATCATTTTAAAAATTGATTGATTATTAAAACAATTTTTTGATAGGAGTTTTCATTTTAATTAATTTAATTAATTTTAAAACTTTTAAAAAAATTTATAGATAAAAAGAAATATAAAATCAAATTAATAAATAAATTAACGTAAATAAAATACAAATATTAGCCTTTTAAATTATTAAATAAATATAATCATTTACTCCCTGCAATTTTTGCTTGAGTTTTATTAAACTAAAATTTTCTCTCATTTGAAATTATCGGCCTAAAAATTAGAATACTTTCAATATTCAAAAAGAGCTGGCGATTAAGAGTGCAAGTGCTGAGTTCCACTGAATTTACGAGTTGAAACCAAAGTTAGAACAGCCATCCATGCATCTTATCAGAGATTATCACCGATATCAGCTTATCACGAAGAAAATTAAAATGCAGAAAAAAAGTAAAAACTAACTTGATGATTCGAACAATCGCCGCAATCAAAAATACGCTTATCTCGATGGCTATCTGATGAATTTTTAAGGCAACATAGTGCATGATTACCCATTCAAATTTACTTTTATCTATGAAAATCTTTTGTAGAAAAAATTTTTGAATTCGAATTTTCTATTGCACTTTTGTTGTAAATGTGTGTGCTTCACATCAAATATCGCCTTCAGTCTTTTCAAAAATACGAAATATTTATTGGAAATTTAAAATTATTTCAAAAATACTTGCAGCTAACAAAATTAGCACAGCAAATCATTCCGCTGCAAATCGTTTTTTCACTTATAAAATATAATGATAAACCACTATGCAAAAAATACTGATTGCAGAAAATCGTTACGAGACCAAAATTTTGAATCAAATTGGACAGGCATAATTCATTTCCAGATTTCTTGTCGAAATCGTTGTTAATGAAGAAGGATTTTGCAGGAACTGGATTTTGTTTGTGGCTATTTGTTAAATTACATATTTATTAATATTGCTTTGTTAAATAATGGAAATGAAATTTAATGGTTGACGTTTCGAAATTTGAAATTCAACGTTGATAAAAGTACAATTCGAAGTGAATGTATTACTTAGCATATAATCGAATGTTAAAAAGCAAGATCTCACGCTTTCCGCATCATGTGAACTTTTTAAACAATATCATGAATGATATTATCAAATCTTTTCTTAAAAATAGCTAAGGATAACACACAAACTTCAGCATTCAGTAATTTATTCAAATAATTAATAGTACGAATAAATCAATGAGAATTAAATTACACAAATATTTTTCGCAATGTCTTGAAGCCTCATTTTGAAATCAGCTGTTAGCAAATTTATAAGAAGAGGACGGAATCTGCTGAGGCCCTCAAACTCATTGCCCTAAAAATCCTTCTGTCCTTTCAAAGATGTGAAAAGGCCTTAGATCGCCCCTCTCTGTTGGTTAAATTTATTTTATTTTTTAATTTTAAAAACTGTATAAACTTCTTTAAAACTGTATAAACTGTATAAAAACTGTATAAACTTCTTTTTTGGCATGTGCAACTAATTTGCAGAAGATTTTGCCATATTTTTCTTCGTATTTCTCAAATTTCATGCTTTCTCTCGATTTTACTCTTGGCATTATGATTTGATCGCAGTCCCAATTTCTCTTAATTATCGTTCATTTTCTTTAAAATACTGGAAATTTTATGATGTATGCAAGAAAATATATGTAATAATGTTAAGAATTATATCTTTTTTTCAATTTTTTGAAGTACAACATATGTGAATGTGAATTTGTTTAATACATTATTTATAAGTAGGCTTTATAAAAAAATTACCAAGTTAAAAATTTTGATGATATCTGCAATCGCAGTTTTTTTCTTCTAATAGATTTTCGATTTGGCTAACTACTGCGGTAAGGTAACTATTAGAAAAACACTTTTAATAACCGGTCTTCCCTTCAGGAAACAGGAGGAATGGGCAGCGTATATAATGGCTTGACCTAGCAATTTAGCACTTAACATTCAACCATCCTATCTTCTTTTCTATTGCACTGTATCAATGGTGAAAGTCGTAATGAATTTTAAAGCTTATCAGTTATAAACTGGTTTGATCGAAAATATCAATTAGTTCATGCTTCACTATAGCAATTTTTACACTTTTACACTTCTAATAATGGTTCTTTTTAGTTCCCATTCATCATTTCTAGCTGCAACCTAGATAATTCTGTTATACTTCCTCATAACTGATGAATGCATCGCCGGTATATTCAAGCTGCATAAATTTCTCAAGTAATGTTCAAGCACTAGTCCAAAATTTGGTGACAATAGAAAATCATTTGATGGACCATCATACAACATAATTCCTCGGTTGATTAAAGGTGGCATAAGATTATAGACGCTTGAAGCAATATTCAATTCAGCTTGAAAATTTGGTCAACATAGCCATGAAAACAAACAAATAGGATAAATTTTAATTGGCGATACTCATCGTTTGTGCAAACCTTTTAATTGGTGATCGTTTATAAGGCTTCAATAAGCATGACTGGTCTTATAATTTTAAGTTTAAAATTACTGCCATGGAAAACTCCTAAAGAGTCGAAGGTCGAAGGAGATATATGTTCGGCCATCTGCACAAATATTTAAAAAGAAATAAAAATTTTACGCAATGATACGATAAAAAGGAAAATTCATGAAAATAGTCCTCCGAGCAAGTCTTTAAATTTTTTTTAAATTGATTCATAAAATGAATTCTCATGTTGAAGAAATCATTCGCATAACAGGAATGATGATAATCAACGAGAATTTTCTTCAGTTGGTCAGATTTCCTTGTATTTCATCGAATTTTTATAAGAATTAATGGTCGAATGAAATTTTTAATTAGGAGTAATAAAAAACATTTGAAATTTTTTTTATTCAAATAAATTTTTGAGAATTGCTTTTGAGCAAATTTATCATTAAGCTATGATTTGGTTTCTAACTCGATCAGGATTATATTAGAAGAAGTGGTACTGTGGAACCATCTACATTTCCATTCACAAGCGACTCTCCGATGGTGTTGGCTCATCGTCTTAAGAGTGGGTGGAAAAAACAGAAGTGTTTAGATAATTCAGAATGTCTCCTTAATGGCGGAGTTTCTTGTTATGACTATTATGATTTCTGATTTAATTATTTATATGTAAAAATAATCAAAGTTCATCAGTCCATCTGGGTAATTTTCTCGCCAAACGGGTGTTGCATCGTTCCATTTTTATTTCCATTTTTCATTTTTATTATATTTTTCATAAAATATTAAAAATCTTCCTTAAAAAAAATATTTCGGATTTATAAAATTATTTTCGTTGGCATTAAATTTTTTTAAAAATTCACGTGCATTTCACGTTGATTTCTACGATAAATTAAGATAATTTTATGAACGACCTAGTTATGAACGATTTTTTTATCAATTTAGATTTATTAAATTTTCCCATCATTTTGTGATAATTTCTATTAAAAATCGGCAATTTTCTCGTTGGATGGTGAAGAAAATATTAAACTCGTATTTGCTGACTTATTTCTTAAGTCCTTTTTATATCAACGCATAACGTGTGAGAAAACCGTTCTTGCGTTTGGTTCATTTCATTTATCTCTTCACAATGTTCGTTTCATAGGCGATTTATACGAAAAATTTGAACGAAATTCACTCATCGATAAACATTTTACAATAATTTGAATTTTTGCAATATTTTTACGTATTCAATTCTGATTGCATTTTGGATTTTCAGCTATTTCAGTTCATTCACAGTTGTTTTGTTTTTCTTTTTTCAGCGTTCCGCTACAATTTTTCAGCGCTATTTTCTTGCCATAAAAAATATTTCATTAAATTTGTTCATAATTTTCTCTTTCCCTTTGTATTGCCTACTAAGTATTGGAACAAATTACCTCTTTTGATCATCAATTATTAGAGAAAAGAGAAGTGGTTTTCTCACGATCTATGGTCAGAACTTGGCCACCGTTGATCATTTTTATACATTTTTTATCATTTTTATCATTTTTATTTTCATCTTCTAACAGCTTATAGCATTACTGTTTAAAATGGCTTCAATGATTAGGTTTCCAAGCCGCTCGATCCGATGCCATGTCCGAGAATAAAAGCCTGTTCTTTTCCTGAGGTCCATCTGAGTCCACATATCGTTAAGCCACCTCTACGCTCGAAATTTCTTTTCTACCAACCCAGGTTTTGATTGGTTCTGTGCATTTTTGATGATGTCCATCAGAGATTCATAGGACCTAAGTATATACCATTTCGAGCTGTACCAATTCCAACGATGTGTGCCGAAAGTTAAGCCTATGCTTTCTGACGAACATGAATTATAGCTTTTAATATCTTCCATCTTCATTGGTCGTATTCCACAGTGCATAGCCAATTTAGATGCCAATTTCTGTTTTGATGGTAATTTCGAGACGATTCCATAGAGGTTCCGCCAGGCGAACTCATTTCTGGTTGCAGTTATTCAGAAGGCGATTTTATTTTTTGCTCAGCAATTTAATATAAGAGTGGATTCGAAATATTTAAAGTCTGGCATTTTCTCAACAAACAATTATTGCTTTTATATACAATTGATAATGATAGCTATTAGCGTCTTGCATATAAGAAAGATTTCCACAACAGTCAAAAATACTTTACATTAAGCGTTAGCTCTATTTTTCATTGCAGTTATCGAACTTTATCCAACATCTTTTACATTTTTTCAAGATTATCAATGAAAAGGAATTATGCGCATTCAAGATCTGTGATAATACTATGTTTCTGTAGTTTCTTGACTGTACCCCTTTTATATTTATGCTTATATTTTTACTTTTGACTAAATTTATATTTACAGACTTAACTGTTTCTTTAGTTGTTTTTTACTTGCTAATTTCGAACTGAAGGCAAGAGTGCGTACAATCTCGGAGACTGAATAGTCGAGTTGCTCAGGTTATTGTCGTGAGCTTCAGGATATGAACTCTACGGACATGTTAAGAAATTTTCATAGTAGTTTATTTTTACTTTACTTTTATTAGTTGTATTTTTATCGACCAATATGATGCTTAAAAATTTCTCACCGTACTGACAGCCAATGCAACAAGTTTGGCTAGAAATGGCGCCAACAACTTACTTTATAAATTATTTTTACAAATTTTTATAAATAAATTTAAAAAATTATTCAAAAAAAGCTTTTCAATTATATATTATTTAAAATCCATTATTTTCGAATTTTCAAAAAACTGAGGATCATTGATCATTGTCACTGATGGGTGACTACGATATTTTTTTTGAATAGAAGCCAAATATTATAAAAAAATTTCGAAATTTTTGAAAAACGAATTAGAGTTTTGAGTTTTGACAACATTGAAAGAGGCCTTTGAGTGGTTTTTGCTTAGATTACCATCTCAAGTAAGAGAGTTCGGGCTTTTCTTCGATACGAATAGGTTTGAAAAATATGGGTGGTGCGATTCACTAGTATTTCTATTATCAAAAAGACTAAAATTTCGCATCATACTAGCAGCCAGTGAAAGCCACTTATTAAAGGCAGCAAGGATGAAGCCAGATGCGACAATCCTTCATTTAAAAATATAATTTGTAGCGTAATATTGTATGGTAAAATCCTGTTGCCACTCGTTTTGTTATACGTACAGTTACAACAATTTATCTTAATTACCGTAATGAAAAAGCTGCTATAATTCTTGTAAGTTTGTTGTTTTCAATTGACATCGATGATCTAAAGAAGTTTCTAAATATTGTTAAAATGTTGAAATCAATAATTTTCAGAGATAACGTAGAGTTACAAGTAACAATGTCGTACTTCGCTAATGAAGGTCGACATCCACATCCAACAGAGGTATTTTAAAATTTTTAAAATTTTAGAGCTAAGTTATTATGAAGATGGCTCACAGGCTCATTTAAAATTATGAATAAGTGACCATATAAAAAATTCACAGAGATTTTGTTTTAGGATTCGAGGGTAATCAGTTCTGATAAATTAGGTCAAACAAATCTCTCTTTCATAGAAAATAATTCTATTAAACTATCTATGGCTCATTAGCAAAATAAAAAGAATTGTTGAAATTTTAGTTTGATGGCTTTTAAAATATATTTTTAATAAAAAACTTAAATATTCAATGTGATGCCTACAAGTTGTTGAAAAATTTGAATTTAGATTAAATGCAATAAAAAGTCAAACAAATATTCCGGAAATATTTTGTTCTTTTTTCCTATTTTGAATTAACTTCACTAAATGAACACTGACAATAAAATTTCAGCACTGCATAATATATTAAATAGTAGTGATTCAATGCTGATAACAAGCAAAAATAGATAAATAAATATTATGCTTCAATGACAATAATTATAATTATAATTATTCAGTCAATTTGGAATTATTTGGTTGAAATCCTTTCACAAATTATAAATAAGATGCAAGATAAGAAAAACCTTCATCTTTCGTAAAAGGCTATAAAATGAATTTTAAGGATAATAATGATAATTTACAGGATGTTATTAGCAAGTTGAAACTGTCCGCACAAGATAAAATGGATTCAGTAAGAGGTTTCATACGTCGATCTAAATCGACAGGTTCAAGCATCCAAAAGTAAATCGGAATTTTTAAATTTTTATAGATCTACAAAAATCTTTTAAATGTTTGTTACATTTAATTTTTTTTTCTGCATTTGTGCGAAAAAGCAATGTAATTTAAAATAGAAGGCATAGCCGAGTTATTATGTTGCTTCGACAAAATTCGCGCGCTCTTAATTTTTGTCTGCTACTGAAATCGAAATCCAGATGAAGTTCCATTTATCCCTTAAGCGATTTTTTGAAGAAGGCATTTCATCTTAGTAGTTTAATCAGAAATGTTGATTATTAAAAGATGGAGAAATTTATTTGAAATGAAATCTGGTTTAAAATATTCTAAATAATAGGTTTTTGCAAAAAATAAACATTTAATAAGAAAAAAAATTCTTTTGGAATATTCGAAGCGATTGGCTTTTAAATTAAACAAATCATCAATTACGTAATAGTAATAGTTTTTCATTTGCTTTACTTAAAAGCTTTATTCAATGTTTAGAATCAGTTTTTTTTCTCTCTTTTTACGGATTATAATGTCAAAAAGTACCAAATAGTATTTATAGATGGAAGGCATTCTAAGAAAGAGTAAACTGCACCGGAATGGGTTAAGGAAGAATATGAAAACTCGATTGGTGTGAAAATAGATTTGCTAGGCACCAAAGATTTGATTGCAATGTTAGATTCCTGTCAGGGGACCGAATCATGATGTTTGAAATCTTGAGCATACTCGACCATACTCTGTACCCCATCATCGAACAATAGATTTGGTACAAACGCAAGTTTAAATATATCGAACAGACTTAGTAAACCTAATAAAAGTACAATATTCGATTAAGATATATATAAAAGATATAAGATTTCTATTTGCAGTGTAATATAATAAAATATTATAAAATAAAAGAATACAATATTATAAAAAAATTATCAATGCCGTGATCTTTTATATAATCGATAAATATTTTTTAAGTTCATCATATCAAGGAGCAAAAAAAAAAATTTTAAAAGATTTGTATGTACGTTTCTATCATTCGAAACATATCGTAAGATGGAATATAAAAGATAATAGACTGATAAAAGAGAATAATTTTGCAATTATTATTATTTCACTGTTATTATCATTATTTCACTGCAAAATTTTTAAAATGAATAAATTCTCAGTTTTTTTGCGAATTGTATTTTCAAACGAAAACCAAGCCAATTTATAATGAAAAACCATTCGTTTTTTTCTGAATTTTCTTTAAAATTTTGTACTTTTTTCCAGTATTATATCGCATAAACGGATGGAAAATGTTCAACAACTGCACACCATTGAAGAGAAATCGGTTGAACTAATTTTTTAACAAATTTTCCGTTACAATTGTTTCATAAAATCGAGAAATGTCTTAATTTCTGAAATTTTTATAAAATTTATTGTCTCCTTTAAATTTGCCAGTCGTCTGTAAAATTTGCTGCAACGACAGTGAATACAACGATAACTGCGCCTTAAACGAAATTAAAGATACTAAAATGATTTTGTAATGATTTTGATTTTTCTAACAATTTTTTTAACAATTCTATTCTAACAATAAAGTTTACCAATTCAGAAATTTTTCTTACTAAAAAAGCGTTGGCAAATCGCGATTATGGCTTGCTTGGGTTTTATAGTAGCATTTGGGATTCGATGCAATTTCGGTGCTGCGAAAGGAAGAATGATTAATAATTTTACGGATCCATTTGGACAAAATTTTGTGAGTTATTGTTATTACCTTGGTTTACTGGAGTTCTCAGTAACCTCAAGGAATCGATATTAAAAAAATTTTGTTTCAGTCACAGCAGTTTTTTTGGACAACAACAGAACTTGGAATATTAGAAAGCGCCTTTTTCTACGGTTACGCTATTACCCAAATTCCCGGTGGTATGTTGGCAGCTAAATTTGCTCCGAACAGGTGATAAATTCGTTTCATGCTATTAATTTTTGCAAGGTCACGGGCTTAAGGGCTAAAGTTGTTTCATATTAAAATAATATACAGAAGAACCATTTTTTTTTAACTGTTTTTCTACTACGGGTAATAGCTAGTATTTTCATGACTTGCTCTTTCATCAAATCCCAGCTTTTGGGAATTTTATTCCCTTATTGTTTATTCCTCGCCTTTTTCATTTATTTTATGGTAAATTCTACATTTAGATTATTCGGCTTTTCGATATTAATTACCGCCATACTGAATATATTTTTGGCATTAGCACTTACGGCTCATCCACAAATGGATTATATAGTAATCACTATTCAAGTGTGTCAGGGATTGTCATTGGTTAGGATTCATTTGATATAAAAGCTATTAAAATTCTTTGCTTACGGATCATCTAAAGAAGTGAAAACAAAAGAATTTAAAAATAAAGTGGGATTCAGGGAATTAGTTATCCGGCAATGCATGGTGTTTGGCGATATTGGGCGCCTCCAATGGAGCGTTCTAAATTAGCAACAACGACTTTTACTGGTGGTTATATTGGTGTAATGGTTGGTCTTCCACTTTCTGCATACCTCGTTTCCTACATCGATTGGTTTGCACCATTCTATTTCTTTGGTCAGTAATCATGATCGCATTTCATAATCAGGATTTTCCTCCATAAATTATATTTTTTAGAGTATATAATTAATGGCGTAGTATGATAGCAAGTAATAATGTGCCACTCGTGCGACGACGAAACTAGGCATAACTGTTGATCCTATATTCCTCTAGCAAAACTGTAAATTTCTCAATTTAAGAGTTGACGGAACCAAAAGTTTTAATGAAAAAAATCCTTTTTTCATCCCCTGTGGATGGTGTGGGTCATCTTCAACTTCGGGCCCTCTACCAGATTCTGGCAGTTTCTTTAGTATTTCTTTTTCCTAAAGTTCCTGGCATATCTATCACTAGTTCTGATTTCTGATCCTTGTCTACTATCACTGGTATCTGATTGATTTGCTAGAACATATTTGTCTGTCTGGATTGAGAAGTCCTATAGGGTCTTCTTTTATTATTCTCCATAATTTTCTCTGGAGTCCCCATTCGGCCTTGAAAGCCTAAGCCATATACTATACATATTTTCACATAGACAATGCCAACTACTTGATTATGCCATTCAATATGTTTCTGCATACATCTTACATCCTGTCACCATGTGCCGCGCAAGTCTTTGAAACTTTTCTACATGGTCTTCAGTCCTGTCTGGTGCGGTAGATCCTTGCTTCGATGAATCTAATGCTAAGTACTTCTTGTGCTTCTGCGATCAATACTTAATTTTACCGTATTTTAGTCACTTTTTTCCAATCACCAGTAAGATTAATTTCAGCTGTCTGGCAAGGAAGCGTTTTGTTTTGTAATGTTACTTCCTCTGCTTGATATTTCTCCAATCTGTTTGCTTCAGGCATTCTCTCAAATAGCTCCTTCGTTGGTGCCCTTAGTGATGCTATCTGAATGCTTCGAGTTTCGTTCGTAATAATAACTTTGACTTTGGTAGGAGCTTTCATTAAGCCTCACCTGTTTTTTTGCGCTGGTGTACAATCTGAATATTAGATTTATGGTGGAAATTTCTATATATTGTGAACAGTCTCCGGATTTTCACATCAGTAGTCGTCATATTCTCTTTTTCTAATCATCTCATTATACCAGCTACACATCTAATGAGTGGCAAAGCAAATATATTTATAGTTTAAATTTTATTTTTCCTACTGAACTAGCTCTTCAAAATTTCATTCTTTGGTAGTACTTAGATGTTGTAGTCTTTCTTATACTAGTTTCTATGCAACTGCTAAAGGTGCCAAGATAATTATTGCTAGCCTATGCACCTGCTCCTCTAGGAAGCTTCCCCAGTCGCATGCCAATGTCTCGTAGATTCGTGTCAAATGAATGAGCGAATCATTTTCTCGTTCGTTTTAAGCATATAATTTGATGTCATCTATATATGGTTAATGGACTCTTAAACTTGCATCTATATTCATTTCTTGTGATAATTTTGCTGAAGGAGTTTAGACCTATATAATAGCGGTAATAATGCATCACCTTAATATACAGGTGTTTGAGCTATTGTTTTCCATAGTTCCGGAAAGAGCCAGACATTTGCAGATCTACGTATAGGATATTGAATCATTGGCTTTCTTATAGTCAATCCAGGCTCTATAGATTGATCTGTTGAGTTTTAACTCTTGACTGACTGCTCTATCTATGAGCAGCTATAGTGAGTCTCTGGTGTTATTCAAAATGTCCTTATAAACTGTGGTCATGGCTATAATGGCCTTGATATTTTCCGCATAGGGAAGCTATTGGTTATCAAGCTATTGGAACGTAAATCATTGGTTGGCAACTGGACGGTATAATTCATTATGAGGGATTTTCATGATCAATACCATCTTTTCTTGTATTAACCAGTCTAGCCGACGCAGTTGGTTCATCTGTGCTGCTAAGCATGAACATCTATTGTCAAATATCTGCTATTTTAATGGTAAATGGTTCCTGCTGTTAGAAGTCACTGTGGCTTATTCCCAGATATACATAAATTACGATTTTATTAACTGAACTTTTATTATCTAGATTTGGGCAAGATATTTAAAAGAAATTTTGCAAAAATTTATTCGCTATTTTTCTAAACAATTTAGGCATTATCGGTATCATTTGGGCAGTGCTTTGGTTTTTTATAAGTGCACCAACGCCTGCAACCTGTCGTCATATCAAAGAGGACGAAAGAAAATATATAATTGAACATGTGGGAAAAGTATCATCCTCACCAGCCACTGTAATGTTTTCTACTATTCATGTAAGAAGCAATGAGAACGGCCAATGATTGAAACATTATTAAGGAAAATTACCAAAAAACTAAAAATATGAAATAATAGAAAGAAAACAGATGAATGGGGCTGATCTACTTGATTTTCTTCTGAATCAATAAATGAACAAAACAGACATTCGTGTTTCTGACAAATTTCGCTTAGAATTCGGTATTTTACGTTCATTTCAAGATCAAAGACAAGATAAATAAATAAATAGCTTGAGGGGCAAGAACGGTTGGATGATTGCATCATGCATTTTTGGTTCATTCCCTTGACTTTGACAGGAATGAAACTGCTATTAGAAATTCGGATGGTGCCTGCGACCTATCTTTTATTGTTATGGAAAATTCTTTCTGGCAAAAATTTTAACCATAATGAGCCAGCTGAACGAGCCTAACAAAAATAATAGCGCTAACTTTATTTATTTTACTATTATAGCTAACGACCATTCCATGGAAGTCAGTTATTTTTTCTCCGGCTGTATGGGCTATCGTTATTTGCACATTCTGTCGTTCATGGACTTTTTTTTTGTTATTGGGTAATCAACTAACATATATGGCAGACGTTCTTCATTTAAAAATTCAGAACGTATGCAATTAAAAACTTTTGGAAAAAAAAATTTTGAAAAAATTATGCTATTTTTTCATATTCATAGATTCATTGCATTGTGACTAACATGGTAGAAGTGGTTATAACTTGAATATCGAGCACTATAATTTCTCCAGAAATCTTTACCAGGATTAACCTATTGCCTGAATGAAATGTGGGTGGTTGCGACCCAACTGCACTTGTCCCGTAGTAAACTTGTTTTTTCTACTAATAAGCAGCAACTAGTAAAATGAGTATTAACCACTTCTTTATCATTTTAATTGAGGGTTTTCGATACAAACTTCGTAAAGTTTGCAGGTTACCTGCAGCAATCTTCGTATATAGCTTTTGGAAGAAGATCAAGGAATCACAATTAAAAGAAAATTCGAATTTCTGAATAATTTTTGAATTCAAGGCTTGAATTTTGAATTTTTGAATTGAATTTGAATTGTCATTCAGATCATTTAGGGTGGTATAATATCTTCATTACCGCATTTACTAATGTCTCTTGTCGTGCTATTTGCTGGTCAGTTAGCGGATTATCTGCGATCTACAGGAAAACTATCAACTATAGCGGTCAGAAAGGTTTTCAATACTTTAGGTACAATGCTTTTTCCTATTACGATGGTTTAATTTAGAATTTAAAATATTTAGAATATAAAATTAAAACTTTGGTGGAATATTTATAAAATGGCGAAAAAAGATTTGGATGGATCAATTTTTCTTATTTATAATTTGGTTATTTCTCAATTATTTTTTGTTATTAAGTGAACCGTTTCGCCCGAGGAGCATTCAGAAACATCTGGTGGAAGTATAGTTGGAGTACCAACACACTCGAATTTCTCGTACAGACTAAAATATTTTGCGCGCTAAACAAAAATTATGTGTACCTATCAGAATAAATTGTCAAAATTCTCTCCAATTTTCATTTAAAAATAAATTTGCTATTGAATGACCAGTTTCCACCATTTCTTGCCAATTTGCTTTGGTTATTTTTGGTTATGAAAGTCGTTTAGGATAGAATTACAAGTTATCTATTATCTATTTGGTCCATTTATCATTCAATAAATCTAAAAAATATTACTGTCTAACCAGTAATGGTGGTGACTCTTTAAAAAAAACCTAACAAATTTAGCATTTTTTACATAGTCAATATTTTAGAAGGAATTTAAACTTCAGGTTTTGCTGGTGAGGCAGTGTTTCTTTGTTGCTTGGCTTTTGTCAATAATCCAACTTTGGCAATAAGCATACTGGTACTTGCAGCAGGTTTCAGTGGATTTGCTATTACAGGTTATTTTCGAGTCACAAATGAGTCGTACCATAGAAAAAATAAATCAAATTCTCATTTCTCAAATTTTTTCAGTAGTGATCATCGAATGAGTATTTCGCTTTTATAATTTTCAATAACTGCATATCCAAATACTGTGCTTTTTTTAAGGATTCAATGTAAATCATTTCGATATAGCACCTCGTTATGCACCAATATTAATGGGCCTTTCGAATGGAATTGGAGCTCTTGCTGGAATCAGTGGATTCGTTCTTGAACATTTAATCGCTAATCGGGTCTGTAATTTATTCAGGCCTCAACAATATTCAAACCAAATTTAACTTAATTTCACTTAATTTATAGGGTACAGATGCCGGATGGCGATCAGCATTTTTGATTGCGACGGTTGTTGATATACTGGCAGTAATAACATTCTTAGTGTTTGGTAGAGGTGAACTTCAAGAGTGGGCGAAAGAAGTGGAACGAGAACAAAGCATGCAAGAAGTTGTTAGAAAACTGTGTAAGTTATTTTGCAGATAGTTGAAAGCAGATGATTATTTTTCAATAAGAATTCCAATAAAAATTTTAAAAAATTAAAGTGGTAGCTCTAAAATTAAAGCGAATCACCTCCATTCACCGTTAGTATCATTCATACTTCAAAAATGATATACTAAAACTATTTCACCTAAGAGAGAAAGAATCAGAACTTTTTATAGCAAGCGTAATGCGCAAAATAGGTAAAAGCAGATTATCGACACGACATAATCGACTGAAAGATGATGAAAACAAAATGAGTATTACATCGAAAGACGATATTACATCGAAAACCAGTATCATTACGAAAGACCCAACTGTTTAATACCAGTTGCCGTGCCAGATTTCACTTAAACTTGGTACCAAGTTAGACTTCACCTAACTTTTTTAACAATTTCATTAAATTGACGATTATTCAAGAAAGTTTAAAGCTTCTTTCAAGAAAGACAGTTAATTATTATCTCAATTAAAAATTGTTAAAAATTTCTCAAATACTTTTGCATAAATTTTCATTTTTGTTATAATCGCTTTTTTTTTAAAATTGAATTATTAAGGATGAAACATCTGCAATTTTCTCTCTCGCTTCATTTCTAGTATTTTTTATAATCTTTAATGAACCCTTAATAAATCCTCAATAAAAATTTTCAGCTAAACCTTGCTGCGATAATTATGAAAAATACGAGAAGAAACCAACATTCACTGAAAACTGCATTATCATATGATGGGAGCCTAATTCAGTTCCAATTAATAAAACTATACTTTCGTTGTTTATGCGATATATACAATATAATTCAAGAATTCCACTCCATTCATTTCCAATTTTAACAAATAATTTTAATGAATTGCAACCTGGGAAAAAATTTCAACTACAATGAATTCAACGATTTAATATGATGATAAATTAACTGATGAAGGCTGACACACATAATATATTCAACAAATTAATTTCAATGATATCTTTCAAACAAAACAATAAACAAAAAATCAAAATAAATGAAAACAAAAATAAAAATTCAAGCACAAATTCAGCTTGAGATGGAAAAAAAAATTAGTACTTAAAAAAAAGGAAATTTTAAACATTTAAATATTTATCAAAAACTGAATGGTAAATGTAGAATATTGATAAAATATTTGCGAATATTCAAATATTTCCGAACAATTGAGTTTTTCTTCAAAAAGAGAAGATAAAAGTGATATAATACCAAAATCTTTTAAAAGTTGAATATGAGGTTAAAAATTAGAATAGCTGAAAACATCTTGCTGCTTCGCGAGTTCCAGAAGCATGGGGTCATCAAAGAATTTGTTGACAGATACGTCTTCGCTAAGGCCTTTCCTTCGGCGCGTTTTGACCATAAATTCTCTAGCTAGATGAGGCGCCGGTTGCATCTCGAGTGGCCGTATAACGATGCCTTTATCAAGTGGATCACCAGGTACAATCTGCAATATCTTCTCATCTCTGAAATAAATAAATTTACAAAAAAATCAAAATACATACTTAAACGACACTAACCTGCCAATGACTGAAAACGGAAAGGCAAAAAGCCTGTCCTTGAGTATGAGTCCTCAAATCTGTTTCAAATCCAAAAGAATCGATAACTGGGATGTAAGCTTTGATAGTATATAAAGGAGATCCAGGAATTGGAGCATCTGTAGTAACATGACCACGGCGTTTTGCCAAAACTGTGTAAACTGAACTCACGCAATCCGCTGGAGCTGTAACCTCAACGAAATAATACGGTTCCATGAGACGTGGAGTAGCCATCTGAAGTAAAAAATTCTCGGTTTATTGGTCTGGACAATCAGATTAAATTTCGAAAATACAGATTTTTTCAAAGATTTTTCAACAGAATAAACTTTTATTATCATTTATATATTTACAAATTTATTTACCAAAAAGGCAGAATAAGCACATCGACGAGCTGTCGGGATAATCTGACCACCGCCACGATATAAAGGTTCATTTGCAATCACTGCATCTAGCATCTTGAACTTAACATTTCGAATAGCTGCAAAAGCGATTAACATATTTGTATTTTCTTATTTCTTTAACAATAACAATTTAAACAATTAATCGAAATTTAGTATACGAATCGAAAGTCTAAATGCTTCTAGCAATTTCTTTCCTCATCTATTTCGAGAAAAAATAATGAAAGATAATATACGTTCTTCGCATAACGGCCCTTCTCGAGTAGCCCATTGAAATCCCTGCACTAGCGACTCACGAACAGTGCTAAGGAGTTGTTTATTAACTTCAGATGGCAAGGTATCGTCAAGCAATACGTTTGGACCAGTAGTATCGGGGCCGAAAGCCCAAATGCTTCTAGCAGCTAACAAATCCCAATCGTATTTGGTTTGGAAAAATTCACCTAATCTTTTCCTGCAAGAAAATTTTCAACTATTTTTAATATGGTTAATTATATCAGTTATAAAGAGATTCAAATGAATATATAGATAAATTAATATAAAGAATTATTTTAAGTACTGATTTAAAAATAATGAAACCTGTTCCAACCAATTTGAACAATTTCGTTTTCTATGTCTTCTGCAAGCCCTTTTTCTAGTGGTCCAGCAATCATTGTTAATTTGTTTCTAAGGTATGATTTGAATAAGATTTTGATAAAGATTTATTTCATGTTATATGGAAAATGAAAAAATTTCTGAAAGTTTCAAGTTCAAAATTATGTTCCACTTATAAAATTCTAGAAAATTATTGCAGATGGATTATCGATTCGTTTTTAAATTCTAATCTTTTTATACTATTATATTATATATTTTTACTTTTTATTCGGCGTTTCAGCAAAACATTTCAATGAAGATGTCTCTACTACTGTTTCACAAAATGAGACAACAGGATCTGCAACTTTTATATCAATCTCCGAAAACACCTGAAAATGGGGAAACATAAAAGAAATCAAATAAAAACGAGAAAAATTTATTTAAATTTATTAGATTTAAAAATTTCATAACAACAAACTTTACGCATATCATGCATAACGCAATCCATATATAATTCTCCAGTGCCCAACATGACATGTTCTCCCGATTCTTCAACACGAGTTGTTAAAAGTGGATAGGATTTATTCACCTAATAAAAGTTAAATGAATTTAATTGCAAATCCATGTATTAGAGATTTTCATAAGACATAATATAGTTAAATTATCATAAGACATAAACATGCATAATATAGTTTTTTTTCAGTAAATTAAATTAGGACCAAAAAATACTTATAGTAAAAGCAAAAACTTCATCATCATGAACATCACCAAAAATTATAAAATTTGAGCAAATACTATAAACATTAAATTGTCCATGAAATTTGAATTTTAAAATGTCGCTCTTTTCACTAAAGCGACGATAAACAAATAATACCTTTCTAAGGCCATCAAGCATTTTTGGTAGCTCGGATGGATTTATAGGTTCAATAGCAAGTTTTACAACTGATTTTGTATTAAATTTAAGAGGGCGAAAGATATACATCTGAAAAAATAGGGTTCATGTTCATCTAAAAATAGAGAATAAAAAAACATAATTCAAATAAATCACGATTAATTAAAACAAACATCTTCATCATAATCAAGTTGAGTGATTGTAGAGGTTTTAACAACTGGTTGATCAACTCCTTCAATAAGGACCCAATTACCTGCGGGTACACGGGAAACTTCAATGGTGTATCTAAAAATTGCAAAAAAACACGATTTTAAATATCGAAATAAATACAACAGCACATTTAATATTTATTGTTCAGTTCAAAAAATCGAAGAAAATAAAAAAAAATAAGAACCTGGCAATACTGACCCATAGCCTTCCAACGGTCATCACTCTACAGTCTTCTTCATCTTGTATGCTATAGTTTTCACCAAGAATTCGTACCTACAAATGTAAAACGGATAAATCCGATCATTTATATGAAATAATGTTATAGCCATGAACCTTAAGAAAAATTCGATAAAATGTCCATATCTTTCAACTTTGCAATGACTATATGGTGAATAATAAAAAAATTCAAAAACTATTGAAAATATTAACATCTTGTCCAGCATAAAGTGTTCCACTCATTACACGTCCAAAAACATGGAAAGAAGTAGCATCCGCTGTTGCGTAATTCTTCGTAGTATGCACCATTAGAGGTCCCTAAACCAAAAACATTTTTTTTTGTTCAATTCCACAGAAATTTTCAATAAATTATCCTGGACATTTATATCCGAAAAAAGAAAATACCTCAGCATTACATTTAATAATTTCAAGTGCCAATTTACTATCCATTGGCCCTAAATAAGTATGTTCAACCTTGCTTCTAGCATTTTCCTCTGGCGATTTAATGTTTTTACATACCAAATCCACAAATGCTGGAATATAAAATATCAATTTAATTTTCCAGATTAATAAACATGAATTATAATAAACAGAATTTTTTATAATTTTTTAAAAAAAGTCACAAACCATTGAAATCACCGAAAAAACGTCGACATATAAGAGCAATTAGAGGTCGTACATTCATCCGCTGCTCTTCCCTTGTCAGCTTTATTCCTAATTCAGACATAATTGTTGGCAAACAAGTATCAACATCACCTACCACCTATAAAAAAATTAGAATATAATCGGACCTTAAAGGTCGTAATTATATAATCGGAATCTCAAAAAACATTCCCCCTGTTAAGTGCACGTCATAGCAATGATGAAATGAAATTTCAGTAAACGAATTAAAAATAATAAATAATACAAAATATTATTTATGAGCAAACATTTTTTCATAATACCTTTCGAGAAATTATACAAAAAAAATTTCGCTTAAATATTCATCAACTGCAATCATTTCACTTGTGAATAAAAAAATTCACACGTCCTAACCACTAATAGCTATAAAATTATTCGTATAAAATTATGTTCTTTAAAATTGATATTAAATATAATCATACCTGTGAAAAGATTTTATATAGTGGTTCCAGTATAAATTCAACAAAAGAACGAGAAGCACCAGAATGAGGCGGTTTTTTAACGAATTTTCGGGTTTTTTTGTCTAGGTACAAATCACCCCAAAGCCTTCGCGAAAATTCATAACCATCGAAATTTCCTTAAATATTAAATTCAAAATTTAGTATAACAATTGGAGCTTAACATAGGATCATAAATTCCCAATAACAATATTACTACCATAAAGATCAGCATACAACTGAGCGAAACTTTGAATGGAGAAGCAAATATTGTATCTCGAACTTGCGAAAATGACATTATAGTTAAGTGGCGATATAGTTACAACTTCGGAATCTTCACTGAATGTTCTATAAAAGAAGATAAATAGATAATATCACAATTTATTCTGATAATTAATAAATATATTGTTCAAAAAAAGAGGTAAAAATTAGTTAAACTTTTAAACAAACAAATAAATAAAATTAATAATAATTAATAATTTATAAAGAATAAAAACAACAAGTGATTTACTGAAGTAGATTATTAATCTGATCGATAGTGAATCGAAGCTTATAATAAGCATCAGTTGGTGGCAATTTCAATTCTAGAATAAGTCGATCTATTTTGTTAATGCAAATAGTCACAGGTAATCGTTCTTGAATAGCATGACGTATAGCACGCTCCGTTTGAAGCATAACCTGAAACCTCCACTTAATCAACCCTATTATCACAATAAAAAATTTGCAGTCAGTCACAATTTCGGAGTCACAATATAAAAAGTTTCACAGTCACAATAAAAAATTTTTTTATATTCAGTAGATAAAACTTGATAAAAAAATTAATAAAAATAAAAAATTCGAAACGAACCCCTTCATGTGCATCCACTACGATAACAACACCATCACTGAGACGGAATGCTGCAGTTATCTCATCAGAAAAATTAACATGCCCTAGAAAGAATTTTCGCAAAATACAAATTAAAAAATATATTTCTTTACTATAAGGCAGACAATAGGTCATATGTTTAAGGGCTATTTATTTTTTCGTCTTATCCCCTTCCTCTTTTCCTTTCTCTTCACTCATTCTTCTTTCAACCCGACATTTTATAGCCATTAACTAATCTTAGCCTTTCTAATCGCATTATCCCTTTATCATGATAAAATTTCTTCACCAAAAATATGAATATAAATATAAATATCCTAAAGCTGCTGATAATCATATTTTTTAAATCTATGCAAGCCACATAAGCAATCTTACGATCTTCTTATTCATTCATTTATGATATTGTATTTCTTTACCAATAAGCCAGAATCAAGAATCAAAGTAAAAATAATTACCAGGAGTATCCATAATGTTTAATAGAAAGCTCTTAGAACGAGAATCTTGCATAACAATGGTTATCGGTGTTGCTTTGATGCTACATCCTCGCTGTTGCTCAATGAATAGAGTATCTGTATAACGCGTATCCGTATCTTCACCACGAACAAATTCAGGATGAGTTTGTTCCATTAAACAATCGATAAATGTTGTCTTAAAAGAATCTCTTATAATTGAATGGAACAAAATTTCACTAATAATGAGCAGTGGATAAAGCGTGAATCCATAAATTGCAAGTCGGAAATTTGAACCGCCCATTTTTGCAAATTGAATTGAGGAAACTTGAAAAATGATAAAACAATTTTCGATTGCCTTGCCGTGATGCAGATGACCAGCAATAGTAATATTTCGTATAATCTGTGGACAATCCATGATGTCGGCTAAATACTCTTTATTATAAGTTGTTTCTGGAAGCGCAAATTCTTTCGCCTAAGAACGAAATAAATTTAATAAATTAATAAATTTCTACAGTCTTCATTTTACAATAGATTTCTAAATTTTAAAAATAGCTATTTTGAAAACCAAAAACCTGAAACTTCCTTTGCTTCATTGGTTTAACAATAGGTTCAGTCAAAGGTTGCGCATCTTCTTCATGCACTATTGTTTCAACATCTTCTCCATATATCTGCATATGACAACTAATAAGGAAGTTTCGACCTTATTAAATAAAACAAGCATTTTTTGGAAAATATTTCAAGAAAAATTGGAGAATTGAAAAAAATTTTTAAAATTAAAAAACAGAGAATTTTTAACGAAAAATTCGAAAGCCACAGAAAAATTTCTAATTAAATAAAAAAGCATACTTCCATCGCAGTCGCATAATATTTCTTATCCTCGTGAAGTATGATTTGGTTCTGTTCTTGCTCCATTTCCTCGTTTTCATTTTCTTCATCCTTTAAGAGAAATTTATTTAAGTATAAACCAAGTTCATGCTTAGTTTATACTTAAATAAATTGAATGACACAAAGCCATGTGACAAATCAGAGTAGAAATTAAATAACTGGATAGAAAAGTGAACAAGTTATTTCTATGGCCAAATAAATCAGATATTGGTTCTTTATAGTCTAAAGAAAATTATGGAAAAATTAAATAATAGCAAAAACGAAAAAAATGATGATTGGTTTTTTCACATTTTTAAAATGGTTAGAAGTGGGTAAAACAGTACAATCGATTGATAGTTATAATCTTATCATCCTGTAGCCTTATCTGTTATTTTGCTTAAAATATCGAAACTTTCAAACATATTTTTCGATTACCGCTTCTGAATCATTGGTTAGGAAATGAGCTGAAGGTTTCATTTATAGATGCATGAAATAAATCAGTCGATACAAGGTAACTGCAGTTACTAGAGCTGTTACTACAGCACACTGCAGTGATAAAGGAAGAGATAAGAGAACTTCCCACGGAACAGATAATCGAAAAATATTAAATATTAGTGAATCTCACTGGAGAATTGAACAACTGTTTCTCTCAAATCGAAGCGCTCTTACTGAAGCTCTTCTCATTGCAGAAGCGGACCTGCCTTTCAGAAATCAGCGCACTGCTCGCAACCCACTAGTATTTTTATCCCTCACAAGCAAGCCAAACGAAAACGGCGGACAAAACAAAGCGAACCTCGTCGTCCTTGTCGCGCACATCTGAATCGGCCTTCTGCTCACTCGGGTAGGGAATTTCTTCGTCCTCTTCGTCGTCCGAATCCAATTCCGGCCCTACGTAATTGCCAAATTCATCATATAAATCGGCGTCCATTCTTCTTTTGAATCCTCAAAAATGCCGAGAAAATTTATAGAAAATGAACATCACTACGAATGAAAAATCTCTTCTCGTGGATATATGTGCTTCGTGCGAGAAAATTCATTTTCATTCTTACTGCTCATAGAAATTTCACTTATTTTTCGTTGACTTCTCTTTAATCTCAAATCTTAATATTTGTCGATTTAGTTTCCTCGACAGACTTAGAATGAACAAATTTGGAATAAGAAACTATAGCGAAACTCGAGAAATACTCAAATACTCTAATGCCAAATACAAAAAACCCCGTCAAAAACCAACCGCCTGGAACGAAATCACGTCGCGAAGTAAAGTGACTGCGAATGTGAGATCAATCAACCAGTGACTGCGAAGTAGACTATCTAATTGGCGACTCGGATACATATTCGTTCTATTCAAGTATTGAGTTTTTCGCAAGACACATTATTCTTACGATTGTCCGCCATAAAATCTAGTACAACAATAAATTAAAGCAGTGGCTGACTTGGCTGACTATCATCCAATCAATGGCTGTGAAATAGGCGATCAGCCCGAATGCGTATTTCGGTATGCATTTTTAAAATTTTTAAAAATTGTACAACAGCTTATTCTCAAGTTTTGCCAAAAACTCTCCGAGTGGCTTGCATGTTTTCAGTTTGTGAAGTTTTCAGGAGTCTCTTCCATTCCTCCCACTTTTTATACGGAGGGTTACGTCGGGACGAAGCAAACTGAGGGAACTGCACGGAATTCTTATTATTCCTCAGATTTATTCGGAAATATTTTGAAATAATTTTGTTAACGAGCAGTTGAGAGAAGCAAAACTGATGGGCGCATTTGAATAAAACTTATGAATAATTTCGTATTGCGCATTAACGTTTATTAAGTAAATAACAATAATCGAAAATACTTTTATGGGAAAAATGAGAAATTTAATGTTTAATTGCGTTGCGTTCTATCCAAAAAGGAGAAGGAAAATAAGGCGGAAATGTTGAAAGAGCTGAAACGTGTAATTCGAATAAATAAATAATAAATTTGAAAGTGGAAAGGCGGAAATTGGAAAGTAATCGGAAGCAGTCGGAAGGCAATTTTTAGAAATTTTTCGTTTTCGAATTTTCAAATACAAAAAATTCAAAAAATTTGCAGAAATTTTTTTAATTTTTAAAATCAACAATTCGTCCAATAAATAGTAAAACATTGTCTTTTCTAATAGCAAATAGGAAAGGATGATTCGCCGTGAATTCTTTCGTTCGACTTATGATAGCACTTCGCAGTTGCAAACCAACTGCACTCGCTGCTGCGGCCTCAGTTCCCTCTTCATTTATCTAAAAAATTTCTGATAAGTCATTTCCACGGGAGTGAATGTCATTAAAAAGTCGGCTGTTGCTGCTCGTCTACCTGTTTTTCTATTGTCAGGCGATTCTCTAAGGAAAATTTCCGAAAGGCTAAGGAGCTCAATCAAGAATGGTGAACTTGACAAATCGTTTGCACAAATCGAAGGTGAGCGCCCTTTGGAAAATCGAAAAAAGAGCGCATTAAGAAACTTTCGAGTGACAAAAAATTTGAAATTTTAATTGAATAAAACTCAAACTTCGAGAAGAACTTTATGGATCACATCCGAAATAAAAAGAGGAGCATCACTGATTTTAGAAAAATCTGCGTTCATCTCAAATGCATCAACCATTCCCATTTTACAGAGCGCATCAACAAGTTCGAATTTTTTCTCCAATTTGAACTTTGGAATTTCCACCTTTAATTCGACAATAATAATGGTAAACCTCGTAGTGGAATGGAACCCCACTATAGTTTGTTATTGAATTAGTGATTAGTAAAAATAAAAAGTAAATTAGTGATTAATAAAAAAACTGTTTATATTCCTAGCTGAATTCTTCTTAAATTCCTTAAATTTCTGTTCATTAAATTCTTAAATTTTTCTTTTCCTTAAATTCTTTTTTTTCAAAGGGTTCATCATTGCTGCTTCTCTTCACTGGTTTGTCGGACCAGATGGAGTCACTTGACGTAAGAAATACAAGTGGATCGCCAGTTTACACTTGGTTAAAGGGTACTCTCACTCCTGTCGGGCATAGAAACTCAGCATCATTTCAGCTCATTGAGCACAGCCCACTGAGCCATTCTACATAATTTTTTAGTTTGGTCATTCGACGACATAGTCGCCGCTTCAATTAATTTCATAAAATACGGTAACATACATTAACTTTGGTAGAAATGCAATTATTTATATGTTCAAGGATCCATTGGCCATTTACATCTTTTTCCATTTCGGATAAAGCAAATTTTTGTTTTGGTAAAAAAATATACATCATAGATTTGAAATCTTTATACGGTATACCGAGAACTTGAACGTCATCATCTTCAGTGTAATCAAATTCGTCTTCCGCATGCATCATAGAAACCTTAAGGATATTTTCAAGGATAAGGATATTTTCAACAATTAAAGGATAGGAATTTCAAGTTTCCCTCTTTCCCTTTCTAGTGGAAAAAAAATTGTACAAACACATTTCAGACTAAGAAATTGCACAAACATGTTTCAAACTCATTCCACATGTTTCTTATTGCGCACTATCTTCTGGTGTGACTGGTAACTGGTTATTGCGAACTAGAATCATACCTCTTAATAGAAAAGGGAACATAGAACGAGTCCCAAACATCTGAAATTCCCATCACTACTGATTTCATTTTTATTTTAATGGATTTTTTTTCCTCGCAGAAAATCGAGACTATATCGCCTCGCTTGACCTTAGTCGAGAAAATATGCTGTTTGACTACAGTATTTTTATGATTTGCGATATGATTAACTTATTTAAAAAATTCATATTGCATAAGCCTCAGTTATCATATATTCGTTAAATATGCACTTATAAAAAAATGAATAAACAACCTGATTTTGTTTTGTTTCGCTAATATAGAAAGATTTCATAAGTGTTCGTTTCGGATTGAAATTTTTTAGCCATAAACCTTTAAAATAAACTGCATTGATAAGCAATAAGCGAGTATCATCGTTAATGTTGTCCGTGCTTAATAAATCCTTTATTTTCGAATTTGTTTTCTCTTCAACGAATATATTCACTTCCTGAATTCGTTAACTATTAGAAACTGTAAAAATTTAAAATAAAAAATTAATTTCACCAATATCAAATTCAAAAATATAATTCGTTTATGCAACATTCTTTAAACAGATTTTGATTTAAAAAATAAAATAATGGAAAAGTAGGATTAAAAAATCATTCCATAGTAGAATAACTTCGCAGTTTCTAAAGGCTGGTTTTATTGTTATTGTATGGAAGCCCATAACAAGAGGCCCACTTAGGAAATGCAGAGGAATTTTCAATTCCATAAGAATGTTAATTTTATCGGCAAACGGGTAGGAGGCTGAAACCATGGTGCTTGGCATACCAGTCGAAGTAACACATCACTTGCTCATTGTGTCCTTTGTATTTTTCGTAGTAGTGAAGCATTATTTAAGCAAAGAGTTAATGAAACCTTAGCAACTTCGGCAGCTTTCTTGAAATCTATTGGATAAAGCTGACTAGAATACTTCTCCTTAATCGCTTCAATATAAGCATCTTTTAAGTTGAAACCTTTTTGAACATATAAACGATTTGCTATAGTTAAAGTAAAATCCTTCGTTTCTCCCGCAAAATTGCTTAATATTTCAGAGAAATATTCGTGCAGCTCTTGATCAGTTGCACCTTAAAGAAATTTTTTCATTTAATTTTGTTCTTCTAACAACCATTTTTCCACTTCTTATTTGGCTGGCTCCACTCTTAATTGGAATAGCATGAAAATCTGGTGAAATTCTTTCACTAGATAGTCATTTAAAAATGGTACAACAAGCGAACATCTATAATGCCCTTCTGACTCAAATTCATAATAGATGCAACCAAATGATCTCTCGATCCGAATGAATCTTTTTCTTATCCACTATCTCTTCTATTTCCAAATATCATTTTAAACATCACTTGTATAAATAGGGGTTAGGTTAAAAAATCGACCATTAAATTATATAAAATCAGTTACTTAGAGTTCGATTTCTGAGCCCCAACTTGAGTAAGCCTGCAAAATTCGCGTGATGCTATCTGCCTATCTATTCTTCTATCTCCAAGTGATTTCCTGGGAAAAATTTCTCACCTGTACTAACCAGTGGAGTTAGTCAAACTAGAAATGAATGATGACTTAATTTTTCTTACGAATTTAGCTAAAAATTCCATAGTTAAGTAATTAATAGATTTTTTGTCCAAATATAATATAGCAAAAAAACTTAAAAAAACTATTTCTAACGAAAATTTTACTGGTGATAAAAATAATTACGATTATCAGCAAAATTGAATTACCCATCCTATAATTTGAGTAGAAAACAAGCTTTCTTATCATAAGTACCAAACTTAAAACCTTTGGCCAAGATATCCATCATTTGTTGTTTAGTTCGACCATCGGAGCCAGTATAAACCATTGCAAGAGCAATTCCAATAGAAAATGGAGAAATTATCGCTGTTTGTTCTGATGCAGATTTCAATAAATTTATAGCGAAATCGGTTTGTGCTACTGTAGCTGACATAATCCTAAAAAAAACTGTCATTGTTAATTCAATTAGCCAAAAAATGCCAGTTAACAGAAAATGACCACTGAGAATAAAACAAAAAGGAAAACTTTAGAAAGTTTTCCTACTTTCCTGGCAAAGGTAAATTTTATGAAAAAGTATTCTGCTGTCTTGAGAATTCAGTTTGATTTCGACAAAATACCATTGTCGAAAGACATAAAATTGAGGAAACAAGAATCGTAAATATTACGAAAGTAATAACAAGTTTATGTAAACATTCATTTTTCCTTATACAATAATTGTTTGCAGAAAATGCGCCACAAATTTTACAACTGTAACATTGTGCCAAAACATTATATGGCATGCGACATTACAAATGATTAATACCACTAGCTGTTCCATCTCTGGATTCTCTGGATCGTGCGGCTACTATCCCAGTTCATTTTAGGTCTTAATTTCGTGACAACTGAAAAAGGCTGTTGAATCTGGTGTACTTTCTTTATGTTTCGTTTTTAAAGAGTGAGATAAGCATGATAATCGGGGTCAAATTCACAGAAAAACATTTTAGCGAAAATAAATGAAAAATTCAAATAAAAATGTCTCTCTCTTTCGCCCGCTTAATTCCATATTCCCAATCGCTAGAATCGAACCTGAATATCCTCAAACCTCATTGTATTTCCCTAAAAATATTTGCAAACCTGTATAGTTCTTCTCATTTGTCAAATTCTCACTATACTTGTCTCAATTATTCTTCTATTCACTCAGTAATCCTCCTATATTCTCTGTCATATGGATGAGCAAATCTAATCATAGTCTATTTTCTTCTTCTAATAGCTGTTACACTGGTTAGGTTCTCCTCTCCAAGAATAAGAAATCTCCAAGCTGCTCGGTCCGACGCTATCGCTAGTAGTAATAGAAGCCATTCCTTTTTCCATCGTCTAATCTTTTCTGACTGTATAAGTCCAGGTCTTCACTAGCCCTCCTCGCTTTGATACCAACCATCACAGGGTTTAGCAAGTAACGAAGTATGTGTCAATTCCTGTGTTGGACGACGGAGAACGTGTCCTAATTAGCGAAGGCGTGGCTCTATGATGATTATTAAGTGGTATTTGAGTGAAGATGGATCACGATTTTATCCGTAAAATGTATTTTAGACATGAATGGTCAAAGGTTGATAGCTTAATATCTTCCATCTTCCACTCTCATTGACCATATTTCGCAGTCACATAGCAAAATCGAGAGAATTTCAGCTATATAGATGCGGATTTTCATCTTCATGGTGATTTCGCGACAATTCCATAGAGATTTCATCAACCGAAAAACTTCTAGCTTGTCGTTATCCAATTATAATTTCATCCTTTGCCTGGCCATTTGGTATTAGAGTGAATATTAGTGTTAAGATATTTGAAGTCGGGCACTTCCTCAACCGGTAGTGAATTTATAAAAAATTATATTTTATCAACCACTTATAAAACGAATGCATATATAAGACGAAAATACTTTTGTTTTATTTGAAATGATTTTGAGTTCAATTCTTGCTGCAGTTGTTGACACATTGTTTAACATTATTTGCATTTCACAACTAAAGGACTACATCATCAGCGTATTCAAGATGCAATGATCTGGACTCACATGCACACCTCTTGAATGACGACAAGCGATGCCTATTATCCAGTCTATCGCATAATTAAATATTGTAGGAGAAAGGACCTAGCCCTGATGGACAGCAGTTCTTATTACGAAGGAATCTGTCAGCTCTCCATGCATACATATGCTGGGGTATGCTGATAAAATGCCTTTATGAGCCGAATGATCTTTTTTTGGGATACCGTCATTTTCATCACTTTCCAGAGCGCTGTATCAAGCGAATCGAAGAGAGCTGCAAAATCGATAAGGCAAGTGACAGTGAGTTGCTGGTATTTTAAGCGATGTTCCAGCATCCTTCTTAGTAAATATCTGGTCACCATGATCGCATCCCGGTCTAAATCCACCTTGGTCAGGGAATATTGTGCTATCTCGTGTTGCCATGAATATATTTTGCAGAAGGAAAGCAAAAATTTTTCCGGAGATATCCAGTAGGCTATTTCCTCAGTAATTGTCGTAATATATCCTTTCTTAGGGACTAGAAGCAGAACTGCTTTACTGCTTTACTCTAATCTTCTCGTATTATTTTCTTTTGCCATACCAGAGAATATATTTGTTGAAAGTGAGTTATGAATGATGAAGGACAGCATTTGAAGAGTTCTGCTTGAAGACCATCCTCTTCAGAAGTTTTATTGACCTTAAGCTTATGGATTGCAGAGATTATTTCCTCTTCTTTCAGCGATTCGGAGTTGCAAACGTTTGGTTCGACGGGTGAATCAGTTAAATTCAGGATAACAGATGGTGCATTGTGGTTAAGTTTCCCCTTAAAAAATTCTTTTCATCTTCTGTGGTGATCTTTAATAGTTTTAATAGGTTCCCCATTAATATTCCGTATCATTTCACTCTCCTCGAGTTATAATTGCTTTGTGAAGACGAAACAGTTTTCTATTATTACCTATGCAAGTCGCCGTCTTCTCATGGCCATATCGCCCCAATAGCGATTTCTGTCCCGGTGTGCTGCTATCGTTATAATTCATCATCTGATTATCAGGATCTCTTAATATTCGGGCTTTGGTAGCTTTTTCAGTTGGACAATTGCTTCCGACACCCAACTAGCGCACTTCTTACTAGTATATCCTTATGTGGAAGTGGTTGATTTTTGTAGGCATATCTTTAGTTGGGACCAGTATTTATTCACCTATCCAGAGATGTCATTCACGTTCATTTCACTCAGGTGTCTCAATAATATGGTTTGAAATGCATTTATTGCTCCGGATCTTTCAATTTGAGATAATTTGAGAAGATCTTGGGATACGTTACGTCTTGTCATTATATGAATCTTAGCTCGAACCATAACATGATCCGATCCATGATAGTTACCAGTTTCAGCGCCCCGATAAGAATGACTATAAAGTACGGAACTTTTCCAGCAGTCATTGACCAATATATAGTCAATCGGATTGGAAATTGGTTGTCCGGAGAATTTCAAGTAATTCTCCGATGCCGAAAGCATTTATTAGTAGTAAAGAGGTTCATGCTCTTCAGCAAAACGAAGAAGATGTTGTGTTCTCCATTGGCGCACTGGACTCCGATGCCACATTTGCCAATTACCGAATTCATCGCAACGCCATCATGACCTACGGGCGCATTCCAGTCTCCCCCAATTATGGCCATGTCACTTCTCGTTAGAGATGTTGTTAACAGTTGGAGCTCCGCATAGAACTTATCTTTATCTGTGCATAAAGTTAGAGTATAAATGATGACTGAAATATTGCAAAATTTTCCTTTGAATGCTTAAGCCATACGTCATTTACTGGTTTCCATTCAATCAGAGCGGATCGAGCCTTTGCAGACATGGCCATATCTATGCATTTTCGCCCCGAGTTATCCGAGGCACCACAACGATATAGTTAATATCCGTACTCGTAACTTAATAATTACTCGAGAGCCGACATGAGGAAGATGGACCTATGACAAACCAGCCACATTCACACAGTATTTAGAGGGGATGTGAACGATCACGTGGCTTGCAACATCCATAAGCGTTCTGACGCTCTAAGCAGCTATAGCCAGCACCTCGCAGCGCCTACAAAGTATTAGCGGATAGGTTCTCACCTCTCTTGAGTAATTATCCCGGTTCGCAAGCAAATTCTATGCTTATGCCTTGGAATTATCTTATTATAATTATTACGCCAGAATCGTATATTTATCTTATGTAGTATGTAGCGTCGCATGTTCAAAAGTCTCATCATGAGCCTCGGAAGACGCAGATGTTGCGTCAAAGTGACCTGACCCTTTCACCACAGAGACAATTGGGGATAGAGATATGGGTCCTCAACAGCCCGGAATTTTAACATCATGACAGGTTTACTCCTGTCAGAGACAAAGAAATAACTAAATTTAAAAAAAAATATAAATTTACAGATAATTTTGAAAAAACTTAAAATTACAATCTGTATAAAAATTTATAAGAAATTATCTCCAAAAACGAGATTAAATCAAAAGACCGTTATTAAAACTGATAAAAACAGGAAATTGGAAAGAATGATCACCAAGCAAAAAAATAAACAAACATTTTAGCATCAAAAACTCTTAAAAGGATGGAGTATTAAGGGATTTGAATAATCAGAATCAGGAATAGGAGATGTGATGTAATAATGATAAGCATGGGTCATGAATATCATGAATTAATCTTTTTATAAACATCCATCTTAGAAAATAAATAGTCCAATGCATACTCCTTACAATATTGTAGCGATGAAATAAAAATCAGCCAAAATGTTGATCAAACCCAATCTAATCTGAGACGAATTTGGTATCTTTACCGATATCCTTTGGGCTCATTAACATCTTTTCAAATTTCGTATGTTTCGTATGTTTTTAGATTATATTCATGATAAAATTCATTTCATGCTTACCATTAATTTTATCTCACATTTTATGTTGTGTAAATTTCTTAAGAAAACTATTAAACTAAGGAGAGAAATGAGAATCAATAAAGTAATATAAACCATTTGACAAAGCTTGCCTTCAATAAATCTCAATCGAAATCTCTCTCAATATTATTTTTTAATTCAGTGCAACGAATTTTTATCTAGAGACGTTTCTTGGCGATTCTTTTTAGCATCAGCTCTCCTCTCCTCTGACTAAATGCTATCATTAATTGCTCATTTGATACGCTTGGAATATTTGTGGATAGAGATTTAAAAGAGCTTTTCAAAAGAGGAAATCGTGGCTCAAAAGCTCAAAACAATGGATTTGATTCGAACCTATATGCGTAAATAGACCGGTGATTCAGTAATAATAATAATTGAGCACTAACGATTTTTCATTTGATGGCTTTGAGAATACCATAAAACCGGTTGATAATAAAATATTAATAGCATAATACATATTGGTCGTACTGACAAAATTCTATATTTTTTGAAAAATTG